GCGGAGGGATCGCTTTCGAGAGGGCGACGCTGCCCGAGGGGGAATTCGACCGATTCGCGCCGGTTTTTTTCGGAGCGCTGCTCAGACGACGAAGCTCCGTGCGTCTCGCGAGATTAAACCGCGGAATGTTTCCTCCGTATGGCTTGTCCGTTCGCTTGGACGCGAATCGCACCGAAATCGGTAGTATCTGCGCCGCGATCCATCCATCTCGATCGCGACGTCTTCTAGGTTCGAAAGAAGGTCTCTCAGAATCATTTCTATCGCCCGACACTCCGCTCACGATCTCTCCCAATCATCCCCTTCATTCATCGATGATCCCCACACCGTACAAACTATATTGTCTCGGTATAAATAAAAAACAAAGGAAAAAAAAGGAGAAGGAAGATAAGTGAGAGAGAGAGAGAGAGAGTTAAGCAGAAAGAGTAAAAGAAAAAAAAAAGAAAGAGACAATAAGAAAACAATCAAGCGATTCTCGGTTCACGGCGACCGATTTAATTAATCGATTTCTTTTGTTCTGTTCCGGTCGACGTGTTAGATGGCCCGACAAATGTGAAGGTCAACATCTTTCTCCGCTCTATCAGCAAAATAGATGATTATAATATGGTGAGTGCAACACACAAGTAATCATCAACAAGGCCTATATACAGTCTGTATATCCTCACATTGTGTACAACTATTAACGTCACGTGTATATGATGCCGTAAGATTTGCACTTCTCTGTACTTGTATCTGTATTACGCGCATACATGTATGCGTGCATGATTAACCGCGCGCGCCCGACGATTGCACGCACACGTGTACTCGTGCGTCGCGCTGACAGTGGATGTGTGCTACCAAGTCGCACCTCGTTGATTTTTCTCGATGTCGTTGACTGTCATGTTACATCTATATACATACGTGTCATACGTGGGGTGTGCCAGGCTCACACGTCGATTTTCCGAGCAATTTAGGAATCGATCTCCCTTCGACCGAAATCATCGCGTCTCGGTAGACGTTTGCGTGGCGCAAATCGGGGACGAATGGAGACGCGCATGAGCGAACTCTGTCGTTCTCGTCAGCGGGATCCAAAGTCGTCGGCGTTGAGGATCGGGAAAATAGTGGCTCGCTTCCCGAGGAAGCTCGACTCCCACAGAGCGCCCGGGGAATCACGAGACGGCGCGGTGAGCCCGTCGCACCCGATGTATGATCAGTGCTCTGTATGTTTACATACTGATTGTACCGTTCGATTGACTGTACGTTGCAACCACGTCTTGTGCCTTGTTGGAACCTCTGCTATAGAACTGACCGAGAAGTGGCCGCGGGTCGGAGAGAACACACACAGGGCTCTCGCGAGCTCTCGTTCACGTCGAGAAAAACGCGTTCCCGAGACACCGTTGCAGGTTGCTCAGGTTTGTTCGACTTGAAAGACGATCGTCCCGCGACGCTTCTCCCGCTGGAATTTATTCCGACTGTGAAACGGCGTTCGCGCGGTCTTCGCGACGATCCTCAAAATTCCACGATGTCGGGAAATATATGAAGAACACGAGAGTGACGAACCGCGCGAGAACGAGATGTTGCGCTCTCGAAAACGGGACGATTCCTCGAGGAGAGATATTTGTATCCTGCAATCGGACACATTTCCCGGGAGCGAAGTTGCACGTGATTTTCCGACTGTCACGTGACTTAGCGAGCGACTGTTACCGCTGAAAGCTTTCTGCGCGTAATACAGTATATGTAAGTGTCTCCGTTCTCGCTTTTCCGATCGACATCAGTTTCAGCCGAATACACCCGTCGAATACAATTTGGGCACCCCTGTCACGAACGGCGCACCATCGAGTTCTTCTCGAAGTCACAATTCAATCATCGATTTTCCTAGTTTCCCAGCCGTCACACGGAACTCGCCGGATAATTGGCATTCTGCTTCGACGAATCAGAGACTCGTTACGCTCGCACCGGGGTCGCGTTCGGAAAAACGATACTCGTTTCCACACGTCCTTTTCCCTGTTTCGCTGTTTCGCACCTTCATGCGCTCGTCATCAAATCGACCATGGACTTGACATATATATTCGTCAAAATCTTTTTCGCACGCGCTGTTCTAGCTGTCGCGCGGGAGAAGTCGGCCGTTCAATTTTAGGCCCTGCAAGGATCTCTTCTTTCTTCGTTTTCTTCCCTTACTTCTCTCTCTCTCTCTTTTGTTCATTCTTCCACTCTCTATTTTTGTTTCTCTCCCTTTCTCTTTTTCTCGTCTCCTCTCTTTATCTTACTCACTCTGTATCACGCTCTTACAAGTACGAGCACGTTAAGCATCGCTGAACAAATGTTTGTTGACTGAACGAACATACGTTGCATAGCGACCAAGTGGAGGGAATGCACCTAATGCACCTTTTAGGGGGCTTTATTGCGAGCGAACGTAATCAGAGGTGACGGTAACGGCAAAACAATTTGTACGAGCACGCTCAAACCGCAGGTTCACGACCCGTTCTCCGTAAAGAGCACACGAAGAAACGCACTGTTGCCGCTCAGGCGAAACCAAATTCGATACGTGAGGCTGCTCATCGGTGAAAGAAATCGCCGAGCGAGCTGATCCGAGTTCTCGGCGAAACCCTCTATGGCCTGATAAGATTTCGAAATAACGTGTAGCGAATGGCGATTGAATGAGAGAGCGGATTGAAAGCCCCCGACTCGAAACATTGCGATTAGTGTGTTGCGTGCAGGTAAGAATGGCTGCTTCTCGACAATCGGAAAAACCTGTAAGAGAAGCCCGGGGTGAATGGACGCGCGCGTTTAAAGAAAAGGAGCGGCTTGAATTTCAATCGCCCTTCTTCTTCCACTCACCGAGCGTTAACGTACCTCGTACTTTTGTCTCTCCCTCTCTCTTTCCCTGGCGATCCACTTTCAACCTGTACTCACAACTTAACTGTAACTATATTTTACACCGTAATAACAGTCAATATAATGAAAGAGAAAAGTTCGGACATTAGAACAGCGACCGAGACACCGTTTTTTACTCAGGTTGTAAAAAGTGTCGAGGACGTAAAGATCTCTATCGTCCGTAGAGGGTTTGCGAGCCTAATTATTTTCGCGACGTATCCCACTATCCCATTGCCATCGAGACAATTGCCGGAACAACGGCGACGACACACACTTCTTTCCCTGTTGAAACGAGCTATTTTCAAGGGGGATCGACTTTCCCCCTCCTTTCAATTAGCCTTTCGTCGCTTCGCGTAATCGAGTTGCGCCACTCCCCGGTCTGTGTTGTCAGACATTTAAATATCTCGAACGATTTCCCGGGGGCAGTAACTATCGCCATTTCCGCGACGTAAAAGAAGCAATTGTTTCGTCGAACGGCCGACTAAACGGCAAACATATTACCTCGCGGCCGTAACTCGAAGGTCTCGTTCATGAAAGCCTAATGGCTGATCGTTCGCTGAAGATAAGAGCCAATGAAGGGGGAGAAGAAAAAAAAAACGTGAAATTACGACCGTTGGTGTTTTTCGCGCGTGACGGTCTCTCGATGCGACAAGACCAAAGGGATTCGTTGTCTCGCTGTAAATGTGGGATCCTGTGGGTGTCCACGAGGATCATTCGATGTGAATTCGTAAGACGCTGCATTGAGTATATATTTTATTTTTTTATTTTTAATATAGAGCACTCTAAATGATTTTTTCTGAATGCTTTGCACTTGTCACTGTATAGCATAACTGAGATATTCACTGTATTAGATCTTATGTGCTAAGATACTGGTTTTGTTACATTACATTGCTATCTAATCCGATCTGATATGATTTCATGTTGTTCGTGTTTCGTATTTGTCGCAAGTACTCGATCATATATACAAGCTAACCGACCGCTCGATATACGACGAGATGACGACAACTGATATTACCTTTCGGAGACGTTTACACAGAGTTGACGGGAAAGTAGAACAATTTCCCGTCGCACACACACACGCGCGCGCGCATATATTTTGTCACAATTTTATCATTCGATCGTAATAATTTTCCGCAAAAGTCGATTTTTACGCTTCTACGAAAGTGTCATCGACCCGGTTGAATTTGCGACGACTTGCGACGATCGAAACGGGCCGTGTGAGAAAGAAGAAAAAGAGGGAAAAAGATAAGCATCTCCTCGTTCTGATTTGTTCTCTTCAGTCGCGGAGCTCTGTGCGAGGTATATCCGAAAGAACAACTCGATTTCCCGTTCGCATATTCTGACGACGCACGACGGACGAATAACGTCGTTTGCGCGCGCCACTTTCCATATGTAAAAAAGCGGCAGCGATCGCTTTTCACCCGCGAAAAATGCGAAAATCGCGAACGTAACATACATACGCACACAACACACAGATAGACACCCGGGATACTTCTCCCAAGGGAAGGTCGTTGTTGTTACACGGTCTAATTACAAGTACCTTGAAGTACAAACGGGCATCCGCGTGTTCGCTCCCTGTGCGAGCGTTATTAATCAGTAAATATAAAAAAGTGTGAAACGCACAGTCGCGACGCATGAGAACGCAAGGCACGAAGCTCGGAGAGAAGGTGATGAGCCGTGAATCCTCGTTTGGCGGCATGTTCCTCAATTTTTCAGAAACCATTCGCCGAACGTTAGCGAATGGGTACCGGCCGAGTCGCTAGAACTTAATGACGAAACGAAAGCCACGTAGCGGACGAGTTAGCGGGAGCGCAAATAGGAGGGAGAACGAAACGAGCGCGCACGCACGTGTGTGTTGCGCTTGAAAAGCGAGAAAACTAACGCCATGACCTACGAGAAAGCGAGCGAAGGGCCACCGACGGAACGAAATGAAAAAAAAAACTAATACAAAAAAAGCGAAACTTCATCGCATTGCACGCGCGGGGAGGATAGGCCGACGAAATTGGCTGCCGGTAGGTTACGAAAAAGACAAAAGAGAAAAAAAATGAGTGGAAAGTATCGGATCGAGAAGGGGAAACAGAGACGCAGGAGAAAAAAAAGAACGAAAAGTATGCGGAAGCACTTCCCTCTTACACCCCCCTCTGAAATAGGAAACAGGGACTTGGCCGGCGGAGGGAAAAGCGGTCCAGACGGTGGGAACACGAGAGACACCGTGAGCGAAACTGCATGCGTTTTCTCTTTCTCTCTCTTTGCCGTGTACAAACGCTAATTAATAACGTACAGATTGCGTAGAAATTGGCCGAGATATTCCGGCGTTTGACACGATCTGGGTAGGTCTTGTATCGCTTTTGCATGGCTCCCCTCCCACCGCCTCCCGCCACCCTTGGCTGCCTATGTGCGCAGTGTATCGAGACATTTTTCATGACAGATCTCGCCGTGTCGATGTACCCCGCCGTTTTTTCTTGTCGATGCTTGTTGCTCGCGAGTGATTATGATCGCTTAATCGCGGGAAAAGGAGCGTTCCTGGACCGCGCATCTGGACGGCGACGAAGTGAAGCTGGTCGGTCGAGTTTCGCTCGAGGAACGCTCTCTTACCCGTCGCTCTACGACGAACAGTCTTCTGTTCTTTTACATTTCGAGAGATATACAATCGGCCGCCACGATAGCAGTTGATGACCGTCACGGATCCGACACGCCAGGTGCGACAGGATGACACATCGTCGCCCCTGGATCCGTGACGCGAGTTAACTTATCGGCTCCAAGAGAGATCAATTCAGCAGATGTGGTCGCGAGAACGGTTGTCGACCTCGTTAATCCTCCGTTGTCCTCGGCTTGGATTAAAATCGCGCAGTCTCCTCCGATGTGGAAGGGGGGACTCGATTCGATCCCACCTGTCCGTTTCGGAACGTTCAAAAAGACGCGATTTCTCGGCGCATTTTTGCCTGAGAATATCTCTTTTGTCCGATGTGTCATACCTGTGTGTCGACGATCGTTCGCTTTTTACGGTAAGGACACCGCGGGTACCGATCATTGCACGTCTCAGGATGGCGATATGACACATTACTACATAGTTAGAAGGAAAATTCTCTCTACGCTGTGCGAGAAACGTTTGGAATAATCGCTTCTTACATAGGCGCAAGATTTTTCTTGTTTCTTCTTCTGTTACTTTTGTTTTTCTTTCTCCTTCTCATGGGACACGCAGGAGAAAGATTACGCGAGTTCCTTTTTTATCCGCGCGTACTCCCGTCTGATAATTCGCGCCGGCTTTCTTTGCGCGTTTATTAGCTTTCCCGTCGCGTCGAGATATTATCGCGACCAACTCGTTTCTATAGGATTGATAATGAAATCGTGATTATCGCTCTTATCTTCGTTAAATGCAAAGCTGCTATTTGCATAAAGCTGTATTCCCTTCGTTCGTTACGGAGACTAGAACGTTACAGTAAGCGCAATCCGATACTCCGGCGATCTAGACTTCCGTTGCTTTTCATTACGTTTCGCACGTTGGTTCTACCTTACTTTACTTTGAAACTTTATAATTGGGAGGACTATCGCCCGGGGTGTTGAGAGGAAAGAGAAACAATTTGCGCGCTGTATACACGCTCGGCCGTCACGCGCGACGCTCTGTTTAACAGAAATTTTTCTTCTGCCCTCCAGGAATACTCCGTACAATTAACATTTCGGGAACAATGGTTGGATGAGAGATTACGGTTTAATGACTTCGGAGGTACGTAGATTTCACAACATTACGACTTCGATGACATTGTGACCCCCTTCGATTACGCCGGTACCGCCGCGATATAAGACGACCGCGCGTGTTGACACTGACATGGAATGCAATATTTCTCGACGTAGAAAATATTCTCTTGCGAGATACGTCGCGAAAATTCGACGAGTTCGGCTGAGAATCGTATTTCTCTTTTATCTCCGTTATAAATGCCAAAGTATTTTTACGCAGTGATTTCGTATAATCCGATATCTGCGACACACGCGAGAAATTCCACGCACAAAGGAACGTTTATGTTCGGGACAATGAACAACCGGCAATCGTTTATGCTTTTCTTTTTTTTTCATACCGCTGTTATTACGCCGTAAAGGGCGAGACGTAACGTTTTATTCACGCGCTAGTCGTTACGCAAATTCGCAACTAGCTGTATTTATCCTCTCTCTCTCTCTGTCTGTCTGTCTCTTTCGCGTGCGCGCCCGATTCTCGCTCGCTCGCATGCTCTTCCCGCGCGCTGAATGAGCCCGACCGATCGATCGCCGACGTCACGCCGATTTTTCACCGAAGCCGCCCCGCTTCACTTGACGTTTTGCAGGTCGACTTAAATACTTGACTCTGACGGAGGCTAATCGCGTCTGGATGCCGGATCTGTTCTTCTCGAACGAGAAGGAGGGTCATTTCCACAACATCATTATGCCGAACGTATACATACGAATCTTCCCAAACGGCTCCGTTCTTTATAGCATACGGTGAGTACAAATTCGTCCAACTGCCGGGTCAAGTTTATCGGCTTGTTCCAGCAGTTCCTGTGGGTTTTTGCGAAGGTTTCAAGGCCGATACTTTTATAGTTGGTTATAACTTTATTCGATTTTAATGTATCGACCATTTTTTCGACAGTGGGTTATCGAAGAAGGAAATGAAGAAGATCGTGCCTGACTATCGGTTCTGAGTTTTTCGTAAAAATCCATACGAACTTACATCCACCAACCTGACACTTTCGCGCCTCTGCACGGAGAAAAATTCAAGAGAGACAGCAAACGTTATGCCGTTATAACAAATCAATATACAGGATGTTCCTTAAGTACTGTCCAATATTTAAGGAGTTGACTTTTGAGATTATTTTATAAAGAAAATTTCATGTACTTAATTTCCGCTCCCGGGTGAGCGCCAGCCCCTTCATGGATTTCTTTCCGACGTTTCGTGAACATTCCAAGTCACTTCTTCAAGGTGAGAGACGACCTAAAACGGCCTTTCAGGCCGTCTCTTATCCCGAAGGACTGGAATGTTCACGAAATGTCGGAAAGAAATCCACGAAGGACTCGGCGCTAACTCGGAAACCAGATTAAATATTTATCCACACCGCGGAAACTTAAAATATCAATAGTTCATATGTTCGTTTCTTAGGGAGGTCGATTGAATTGATGAGATGGCGCGATATCAGATGTGTATTTTTGCGATTCCCCTCTTCTTCTTCTTTTTCTTCTCGCAAACTCCATTTATCCGTCCGATATTAAAATCGTGGCCCGACGCGCGCGAAAATGCATTATCCATTCGCGCGGTTCATCCTCGTATAATCGAATGTTGCGAAATTCCCTCGGCTAATGTACACACGGCAGAAGAAGAGAGAGAGGTCTCTCTTCTGTATACCGTGTGTGATGACCAAACAGGGCGCGCGTTCGTTATTGCAAATTAGGTTTTTTCATCGACGTGCTGGCCTTATATAAACCGTCGTTGTTTTCTTTGCCGCAGGATATCCTTGACGCTGTCCTGTCCCATGAATTTGAAACTGTATCCCTTGGATCGACAAATTTGCTCACTTCGCATGGCCAGCTGTAAGTAATTTCGTCTTGGGCTCGCGTCTAATTTCACCCGGGCGCATTTATATCCCGGCGCCTGCTGAGTAATTATTCGTGATCCGACAGACGGATGGACGACGAACGACTTGGTATTCCTCTGGAAGGAGGGCGATCCTGTTCAAGTGGTGAAGAATTTACATCTACCCAGGTTTACTCTGGAAAAGTTTCTTACGGACTACTGCAATAGTAAAACGAACACCGGTAAGTAACGCGCATCCTCGGCGAGTCGCCGACGCGCGTGACTGATTTTCTTCCGTTTGAATAAACAATGCAGGAGAGTACAGCTGCTTGAAGGTGGACCTGCTGTTCAAGAGGGAATTCAGTTACTACCTGATCCAAATCTACATCCCGTGCTGCATGCTCGTTATCGTGTCCTGGGTGTCCTTCTGGCTGGATCAGAGCGCCGTGCCTGCTCGGGTGTCATTAGGTACGCATCAATCAGAATGAGAAGGAAAGATTGAGAAAGCAAAAGTGATTATAATTGTGACATCAAATTGTACAGTTGCTGTAATGAGTTGCCGATTGATTTAATCATCCGGCCAGCAATTATGTCAAGGCGACATTTCGTTACAATCTGTTTACGCAGTATTGATTTGAGGTCGACCGGCGATCCGTTTCTTCTTCTCAGCAAACGCAGTTGATCGTTAATGACATGAATCGAATAGACGACACGTCCGGCGGCACTTGAACGCGACGTTTCGATCGACGCTTTTGCGCGCGTTCTCCCCGTCTTGGCCTTCTCCTTTTTGCCGACTGTTCTCACGTCTTCGCTTGTCACGAGAGCGCCCCGACGTCTTCTGCTTTGCTCATGCAGGCGTAACGACACTGCTGACGATGGCCACGCAGACATCAGGGATAAACGCCTCACTGCCACCGGTATCTTACACGAAGGCTATCGACGTTTGGACGGGGGTGTGCTTGACCTTCGTGTTCGGCGCTCTCCTCGAATTCGCGCTAGTCAACTACGCGTCGCGCAGCGACATGCACAGCGACAGCATAAAGAAGCAGTTTCCGGCGAGCGAGATGGAGCATTCGTCGTCGATCGATCCATCCTCGGAGCTGCTCGAGCCAGACGGATCCGCCAACTTCGCCATGGTCAGTATCCCGAGACGACGTTCCTCGCTCGAGATGCTTTCGAGATAGTCGGGCTTTTCGTTCGCGTCATTGCGTTCCCGATCTCATCATCGACAGTTCCCGCTTGGCGGAGAGAGAGAGAGAGAAGTGTGGGAATTTTTCGCGAGTAGATTTCAAGCCTTTCTCTCCTCTTCTCTCAAATTGTCCCGGACGCTTCTTCGAGATCGAGGAACGAGATTCCGTAGTTTTCTATTCAGCAGAAAGGCGGTGATAATCGATTAAGGAGCCAAGTAACTAATGGATCAATACCGCCCGAATTCTTTCAGAAGCCTCTGGTCCGACACCCGGAGGATTCCATGTCGATGGATAAATTGCGGCAGTGCGAAATACATATGCAACCAAGGAAAAAAAACTGCTGCAGGTCGTGGCTGTCCAAGTTCCCGACGAGGTCCAAGCGCATCGACGTCATCTCACGGATCTTCTTCCCAATCGTATTCGCTTTCTTCAACCTCACGTACTGGTCCACGTACCTGTTTCGGGAGGAAGAGGAGGGCGAGTAAGCCACGAGGAGGAAGCGCTCGGATCAAGGGAAGTGGCTCGCGGCCATCCTCAACAGTTTCAAACACGACCGCAACGTTCGCGTCCTCGTCGACAGTATCATCGTCATCCCCAGAATCACAACCATCATCACCATCATCACCATCACCATTATCATCATCATCAGCTGTCACCGCCGCAACGTCATCGCAACCAACTGCCGCATATCTACCAGCAGGACCATCAGCAGCGTCATCAGCGTTTTCACCCGGATCGCTCGCCGTCGCCGTCCTTCTCGCCGTTGAACGACGACGACTGCGTCGCCGGTCGATGTTCGCCGAGGGCGCCGCGACACTCGCGAAGAAGCTCGGCGAGATCGTCGCCGTCGCGGTGGCCGTCGCCGGCGTCGTCGACGTCGCCCTTGGGAACGCCGTCGCGCACCATGTCTCGGGGCGCGACACCCTCGCCGCCGAACGCGGCGTCGGTGCCATCCACGGCGGCGCCCGCGAGCAGCTGCTGGAACCTGCCGCGTAAACTGTTCACCTGTCGTGTCCAGGGTAGCGCGAGGATCGACTTCATATCGCGCATCGCCTTTCCCCTCATGTTCATTCTCTTCAACTTCGCGTACTGGTGTATTTATCTGTTTCAAGGCGAAGACGGCGCGGTGACCAACAAGTGAGCGGAGAGAGAAAGAGAGGGAGGGAGAAAGCGTGACGGAAGAATCGAGTTGTTGGTCGACGTTGGATCCTTGAAAGAAGAAGAAACACGTTCGTCTCCGATCATCTACCGGCATCCCGACGAGAGAGACCGTAGCAATGTAGTTCGCTCGACCGGCCACTTCGACGATACCTCCGCAGCCCGCGCCGCGAAACAGCGGAACATTCCAGGACGAGAAGATACGACGCTCGGCGGATGAAGATGGCTATCACGGATGAGGACGCAGCGACGCGTACTATACGTTGCTACACGTTAACACGTCGTATACGCGCGAAAACCGCGTGTATATATACACACACACAGACACAGATAGACAAACATCGTACCTCATGACCCACTCGGAAGACCGCGTGCCACAGACTGAACTGAAAGCGTAGTGGGCCCTGTATAGCCACGGCCTGTAAACGATTAAAAAAACAGAGGGAAAAAGAGTCGCAACAAATTTATAACTAACTAATACCTACGTTTCCGCACGTCGACGAGCGAGCTCATCGGCGCGCGCAGCACTCTCGCACCGAGCATCACGGCCCGGTTCGTCGTTGCGAAATTAAAACGGCGAACGGTCTCGATCAAGTTTTAATTCGCCTTAAGACCGGGACGATCGCTCCTTCGTTCGTACAAGGGTGTTGTTTGACGAAGAAACGATCGGCGTCGCCCACTCTTAAGGCCGTGTCGCGCACACACGCACAGGGGAGGGAATGTTTGACGACGGGAAACACTCTAGGCGTGTGTACACCGGGTGTCAAACATTCCGGTAGTGAACCTCCCGCGTGTACGATGCCTCGCTGGTACGAGCTGGCTGGGTTTTCGAGCCTAGCGGCCTCCCGTGTTTCGTATCTTTCGATTTCTCTCACCCCGCTGTAATTTGTAAAAAGGAGACGAGGGAGGGGGCCGCGAGGCTGAGAAGATTGAGAGAAAACGATCGCGATGCTTACGTACAGCGGACTTCCGATCAGCAGTGCGCGTCTTGATATCGCTAGGAGTAATCCTTGTTCCGCCTTTCCCCGAGAACGTTTCCTTTCTTTCGTCTCTCACGGGGACGTCCGAATAAGGATTAACGTCAACGGGACACGCGAGCTGGCGAGCGGCGGTACGAAGTGTCGACGGTCTCGCGGCTTCCTGTTTTTTCCGCCGCCCCGGGCCGACGCGGCTCGGGGCTCTCTCACGTATTGCTCATGAGAGATCGAGGACGCCACGCGCGCGGAGGACTCGTCGGCGCGGCGTCGTCGACCTCGCGGACGGAATGAAGAGAAACGACGAAGAAGACACGCGGAAATGTGCTCACTCACTAAAGCGATAGTTGTATTTTTTGAAAATACGAGACGTCACCCTCACTGGACAGAGCCGCGTCATCATCGATAAAACAATCCTCGACACAACCCCCCCTCTGTGGTGACGGACGGCGGAGGGAAGCGCCGCGCCGAGTTCGTTTCAACGGGGAAAAAGTCCTCGATCGCGTCCCTCCCCCGTGCGTATCTTCCCTCTTACTTCGTGCGACCGGACACTACGCGCGCGCGTATCTAATAAGAAGTGAGGATCTTGCGGGCTCCGCCCGCGACTTTGGTACACGAATCGTTTCGAGGGACTGATTTCAAGCAACCTTTATGCTGTCGCAGCAAACAAATCAATACATCTTTCTTGAATATTGCTCAATATTAGAGAAGTTGGCTTTTGGGATCGTTTGATGAAAAACGCGAGCATACGTCCCGTTCTTCATAAAACCGGAGGTCGAGTCTTGAAATACACGTCTTATAATATATGGACGGTACTTGAGAAACGCCTTATATATTTATTTATTTGCCGCGACAGCATGCAATTTGCCGAATGATTTTTCCCCGCATAGGACGCGCGTTGTGCCTGGGATCGGAAGCGCGCGCAAATCGAACTTCTTCCACGATCGCCGCGACTCGACGTTATCTTCGGAAACTTCTGTCCCTCAGACGCAACGTGCCTCCCACGAGTTCCAGAACGGAAGCTTGTCCTCACGAAAGCGCGCGGTAATATCGTCGTAATGTGCTAATATCAGTGTCATTCACTGTGTGTGTGTGTTTTTTTATAACGAATCGCCGCACTCTTTTCGAAAATCTTATCGTGTTACGGTTTTAGGAGTTATAAGCTAACGTGTTATGGCAAACGTTTGTATTTGCGGCTCAAGCGAGATCATCCGGACGGACTTCCCGCAGGCGCGAAACGACCGAGTAATCGCGAGCAAGCAAGCTTACTTTTCGTTCGGCCGGTGCACCTTGTTTTTCCTTCCGCTAATTCCCTTCGAGACAAAGCTCCGATCGCCATTTTCCGCACCTCGTCGCGATAAAATTGTCATCTCAACCGGACGCGAAATCGAACGGAATCTGCCTCCAAGGAACGCACACCGTAATCTCTCGACTCGTTGTCGAGTTCCTCTCGCTTCACGACGATGAGAGGAGGTCAACGTAGCCGTGTGTATTGGCGTAAAGGTAATGTGTGTGTTCTTCTCGATGGAATAGAAGAAAGTCCGAGAATGTTCCAGCACCGTCGATGTTACGCGTATACGCGTGAAATATTCGCTTCGCGCGTGTGCAACGAAGCACGCGACGTTATCATGAGCGGAATGACGTCGGCAATAACCCGGAAGGCTAATTTCTCGCTCGTGCGGCGTTAGTCTTGCGTAAAGCAATTAGGCTCAGAGTTGGCAAGTGATGCGTTACTTGCCGTTAAAAAGTTACTTTCTTCAATAACGCGCGACTATATATATAACGGTTATACATAACAACGTTATTGATTTATATTTTTCACTCATAACGCGTTATTTTTCACAGTGGGTATCGAAGAACGACGATGAGTCACTAAAAAAAGAAAAAAAAGAATAACTTGCCAACTCTGATTAGATCATAGATACAGCGCAGGTCTTTTTCGTTCTTCCACCCTTCCGTCCCTCGCGCGCTCTCGGTCGCTTGATTTATCCGCGCCGTGTCCACGGTTTGGATGTAGCACGCATAAAGGCCGCAGTAGAGACTTGTTTGCGCGCAAACAGCGTCTAAGAGACGCCAGCTTCCGAGCGAGGAACACCGTGTATATTTAGGAGCGACTCTGCGCGTGCCTACGTGCGAGAGACTCGACGGGACGTAAAGCCAGTATTTGCGAGACGATTACGTGTATCGGCGATGGATCTATCCTCCGTGATACCTCGTCGGGCGTGTACATACGTATATAGTTAAACCACGAGGCGGCGGGTCTGAATGGTTATCGAACCGTGCTCTCGGTTGCATCGCGAATCTCATCGACGTCGTCGGCACCACGAGCTGTTTCGATAATCAGCCGCGAGAGGATTGCTTTCGCGTGAAACGTTCGTCGGGACAGGTGACGACGAAAGAAGAGCCACTTTCGCATTTGTTGCCGAGAAGTCACGAGAAATAGACGCGATCGAGAGATTATGCCGTTTTGAAGGCCATTCCACAATGGCCGTAGGAATAAGTCCGTAAAGCTGGATAGGTGCGCTAAGTACTTTCGTTCTGAGCATTAAATTATAACATAGTCTCTAAGCGTCTCCCCGGCGCCACCGAATGTCGCAATTCCTGAGATTTAAACGTTATTGCAACTTTTGGTAGCGTGAAAAAAGCGCTTTGTTAGAAATTACCTAACACCTTTTACAGGTTGGAGCAAAAGGCTCACTAATCGCAGATCCGGACTGTGCAAAAACGTAAGCGTTGAGCAAATTGACCAACCACAATTGATTGTTCTTGAAGGAAAATAGTCGACTGTGATTGATCAATTTGCTTACTCCTTATTTGTTTCGGTATGTTTCACTGTAAAAGATGTATAATAGGCCGCAATATAGGATCGTAAGCGAAATGAGTTATTTCTATTTCTTACCGCTTTACGGCCTTAACGTAGTCCACTCAGAGCGAAATGACGCATTAAAGTTCTATTCTCCTTCTACTTGATTGGTGGCTTGCCTTGCGTTTCGCTGTAAAGCAGGCAGCACCGTTTGAGGACATTACATTCTACGACCTTAATGCTACGGACTTATAGCCATGTTAGGGCCATTGTAGAATAGCTTTGAGAAATCCTTCGCCCCCTTCCTTCCAGCTACCTATTCCCCGAGCAGATTGTTCTCGCGTGGCGATCTCTTAGTCCCACAACGACGCACCAGCTGTTAACCCTGAAAAAGACCAAGCCATTTTTTTATTTCGATATGGTTTCTTCTCTTCAATTTCGGAGACGTCCTACCGTGACTTCTCCTAAATTTTCCCAAATATCAACAGGAATTATAAACATAAGTCTGACCGCAATGGACTTTACTGCTAGCTAGAAGTGGCGGCCTTTTTTAACGTTAACGACGCGAGAAACGAGAACATTTGGCCCTGTCCGACAATTTCCCACGACGATCTTTTGTCACGCGTATACACTGAGTCTCCAAACACTTCTTTCTCGACGCGGTTGGAACGATGGTCTAATGAGAGAACCCAGTTTTCGGAAACCAGTTCTCTCATTGGACCATCGTTCCGCATCGAATGATAAATTATGTGATAGAAGAATAATTCTCAAGAATAATAATTCAACGCCGTATTGAAACCCAGTGCACAGGGATCGAGCACACCGCTTTTGTTTTGCGACCGCTTCCAACGTTTCACATCTCGTCTCCCATCCTCGCTTCCACCCCTCCGAAAGTTAACCGCTCTTCGGTCTTCAAGACGAGGCTTCCGTTTATTTTGTAACGGCCGCGGATTACGACCGACTGAATTAATTAAGATTCTCATCAGATCTGCTGCACGCGCGCGCGCAGTCACGTAACACACGTCACCGACGCGTATCTCCCTCGAGAGACGGCGCATTGTAGGATAAAGATCCCACAGAGTCCCACAGAGATGGGAATATCACGATAACGTGAACCGGATGGATCTCTCTCGCAGACCGAGAAAATGGGAGAGAGAGAGCTACGCGACGGTGACCGTAAGTTAGGAACGACCGTGTAAACTTCATTGTCACCCACGTCTGGAGCACTTCCGTGCTACACCGAAAGAAAAAAAAAACATAGCGTCTCACACAGATATACACACACACACGCATATACACGAGTATATGAACCTCGCACGACACGATCCCGTTGTATCGCGGATATTATAAGCTCTCTCCCACGTCCGAGACACAGCTAAAGGGTTTAATGTTATTGTTATATGCGTACGTTGTAATATATGTGGTCGAAGCATGCTCAGCCCTGTAACAAAATAAATCCCTCCTTTATCCCCCCGAACTCATGCGAGGAACTTGTTACATACACACGATATGTGCGCGGTTTCCCTCCCCGCCGCAACGGGGGGATCTCGCGTCACATTACATTTCGGCGCACGTCACACCGCCAAGACATAGAGCTCCGACGACAAAAATCACCCTTCAACGTTAACATACGACTACATCGGTAGCTATCGTTTTCTTACTATCACCGACGGATCTCGGCGAGCGGGCGCCGTCGCCTCGGCCGGAAGTGCCGGGGTAACTTCGACGAGCTCCCTTCCGAGCTCTCCCGCGAATTGGGAGATTGGATTTTTCCACCGAATTCAAGTCGGAGCGATCGTGCGGTTCGATCGAGATGCTCCGTTATTACTCTCTCTCGGCCGAAGCCGCGGGTCTCCTCGCCGCAATCGCGATCCCACACCGTCTCGATTAATCCCCATAAAAACCGCCACTCGTCCTGGATAAGTAACGACGAGCGGATATTAAGCATTGTCCATTATAATCGTAAGGATTGTGTCCTCCTGGCGAAAGCGGCGGAACAATCGACTCGAGCGGCGAGCACGCGTCGAGAGAACGTAAGAAAAAGAAAAAAAGATATTGCATGCTTGTGATTCGAGTGCATTCCAAGATGTGTAACATAATAAATTTGTATCGTGGCACATATTCCGGTAAATTACGAATCTTCCCGCGTGAACTTATTAGATCGTCAATTACACCAGTGTACACCTTAACGATCGAATAATAATCATTCCTGTCGAGAGAGAGAGAGAGAGAGAAATGTGCGCGGACGTGATCCCAACGTCGTTCGCGTCCGACGAAGAATCAGAATCTGAGAGCCGAGAAAGAAAAAAAACGAACGAACAAACGCACGGAGACATCAGGCTTGAGAAAAGACAAAGAGAAAAACGAAAAGAAGAACGGTATTCTAAAATTACCATAAGATCTTTAAGTACTACCACACTGTAATTAAGATAACAATTCAATTAAACGCAGAACAGACGAACCGATACTATGCGTCTCAGTCACTCTCTGATTGTGTTACTCTTTCCCACATAAACGCGAACCGCACGACGATCGTTCAAATTCAAATCCTCGTCAAGTCTCTATTTCCGATGGATCTCTGTTGCTTCGTTAAAGGAACGACGCATATTTACATATTAATGCGCGTTGCTCGTTTAAAGAAAGCATATTACAGGTAAGTAACACAATAGAGAAGGTATGTGTGTGTGTGTGTATATGTGCGTACAATGGGGTTGCAGGGGACTCAACGTGCGTATTATGCGCATACGAGACACTGAATGAGAGAGAGAGAAATACGGAGATAATTTAGACATCACGAATTTATTTGTCACGTCTGCGAAATACTGTACATCGAATTTTATTTGTTGCAGTCGCCTAAATACACTGGGATGTATTACAAATAAGCACTAAACGTCTATATAATTTATTACGATCTACGAATACAGCTCTCGAATTCCGCTTGGACGATGCTACACATTCTGGAAGTTTACATTGCATAGGGATTCGTCAGAAGCGCCCGTCCGTTTATTATCGAATTGGCTCTCTTTCCCTTTCTACCACTAAATAGTGAAGGGTGTAGCGTTTTATAAAAACATAGAAATAGTAGTCCGTATCCGGTATTGCAATCGTATTTATATTGTCTAAATCTAAATTGGTGTACATCCGCAAAGGGGAAGAAATTAGACATGTGGGGGGGGGGGGGGGGCGCGGGGGNTTAGATAGGCGTACTGTTGCGCAGCTAGTGCGCCACCGTAAGCATACCATCATCGTCACTATTGATGAGTGACAATTGTCAATTTAGATTCGTCGAAGTACACATAAATGTTCGTACAAGTACTTCCGTAACAAGAAGTAATCTTGCAATAAATTCGCTTGGATAGACTCAGCACGCACTGTGTGTGTGCACCGAAAACGTCGCGCACAAACAACCGGTCGATAAACACGCTGGGAGTTTGCGAACATTTTGGGAAACGCTCAGCAGTAAATATCGCACGATAGTAAAAAGTTTCTGAATTTGTGTGGAGTCTAAATTTGTAAAACAATCGGCACACGATTTGTCGCAGACGGAATGCACGCCGGAGATACTCGTCTCTCGACGTGCGTTCCGGCCGGAAGCGCCTTTACGTTCGAAAATTTTCAGTGAACCAGCGTTTGTGTACGTGTATGTACGTATAATAGGCATTAACTCGCACCAGCGCACACTATCATCACTGTAAATGATATAGTGACAGTTACCTTACACTGAAGCTGACGTGAGAAATCCGCGCAAACCGGCCGATTACACCGTGGGACAGATAGGTTTATCGCACAAACAGTGAAAGTATAATTTTTCGGGCAATGATTTCGTCATGAGACGATTTCTGTCTCGCGTAACACGTAAAAAAGAAAGAAAAAAATCACGTCGCCATGGGGTTCTTATCCGCCACTGGAAGATCATCTCTCGCTACTCCAGTAGCTCTTGCCGATAACCTCTGGAGGAAACAGACGAATCTCTCGTTAGTATGGAGCCCGGCGTGGAATTAATGGTCCGTCGCTCGGGACAGCAACGACCTACCGACCTGTACGGTTGATTGGACTACGACTCCGCGAATAACTACGACTGTAGCTCCGCCGACTGCCACGTCCGTTGCGTTCTCTGCTGTGGCTTCGACTTCTGCTTCTCGAGTAGCTGCGCTCCTTCCCATTACGACCGCCTCGCGATCGCCATCGGTTTCTGCCACCTGTCGATAACAATTCGCTTCTTATTTGTCAAGCCGACCCGTTCGATCAAACTTTGTCGTTACACTTCGCTCAACCGAATTCTCAAACGTTTGCTGTGGCGAGAGTACCTCTGTGTCTGCCGTATCCACCGGCTCTACCGTCGGCGAGCTCCAGCAGCTTCGGATTGATCACCTGGTTCGCCTCTTTTAGCACTTGTATCAAATCGTTGGCCTTGTTGGAGTTGTTGGGGGTGAAGAAGGTGTAGGCCGTGCCGGTCTTCTGTCGGCGGCCGGTACGACCGATACGATGGACATAATCTTCGGAGCAGGAGGGGTAGTCAAAATTGATGACAAACTTGACGTCTTCAACGTCTGAAATTAAGGGCTGGCATTAGTCGAGCCGTGGCTTCCCCGTGGGGTCAGCGTGTTGAGGACAGACATCGGTTAAGACAGTAGTAGTGTCGCGAGGATTTGTGAAACACCGCGTCGAGCAGAAGTTGGATGTATCGGATAAACGAGATACATTTGTCACGGTAAATCATAAATTTCGATACGCTCTCCAAGAAGTCACGCGATTAACTCGAGCTAGCATGTGTTGCCCCTTGCATTGATTTTTTTCTTCTAATGCGATTGTACCGCATATCGGCATGGTTGATCAGATGTAAAGACCATCAATGTGTGTAAAGTTTGATTGAAAAAAGAAAAAGAAGAACGATTTCTCTCTCTTTCTCTCTCTCTCTCTCTCTCTCTCTCCCTCTCTCTCCCTCTCTCCGTCTCTCAGAAATATCTGATAATTTGCAAGTGAAACTGATCTATGAGATTGTAACGTATCGCATCGTATCAACGCTTGTGTGTAATTCTTTAGAGAGCGTTTTTGGAGCGTGAAATAACGAGAAATCGTGAAATAAAAACAAACCGTGGCGCCGACACCGATCCTGGCTTTCCTTTCGTAAATATCGCGGCACGGAATACTCGTTCCCGATTACAACAACGTGCGAGGCTAAGGTCGCACTTGAAGTCCTCTTTCGCGCTATTCACACCGTGGTGAACAACGAGACGATCGATATCTAGAAAAGAGACCAGGATCGTAGTGTAACAGGATTACATGATACAGTAGTTAGTATGATGAGAGATGCGGTCTGATACACGGTGTAGTTATCACGGGAATTGAAGGACGGAGGATCAGAAGAGATGCGTACAATTTAAGAAGGACATACGTATAAAAAAGTGTTACGCGTTCATACACGTATATATATACATATACATATATATATAGACGAACGGCCAATGTATAACAGAGACATTATCCATCACCTGCAAATTAACGACATCATACAGATAGCGGAACGAACGCATTTATACATACATGTACTTATATATACGCGTACAGGAACTCATGTGCGTGCGTGTGTGTGTGTGTGTGTGTACGTATTATGTGTAGGAGTGTCGATATATGTATGTCGATTAATTAAACTCGAACTATATAATACTAAAATTAGGCTGTGGGCGAGATTTTCGCTAGCAACGTACGGGCAGGGCCTGGCTATTGCGCTCGCTCCAGCTACTGCCTCCGCCACTCTGTCGCTACAGGCGCAGGGCGCAGGGCGCGCTAGAGAGGCTCTGGCATCTGCTATCATGCCACCGCCTCAACGGACCGTTGTTGGGTCTGATTAGCTTGAGCGGCCAGCGCAGGGGACTCTATTCTGGCAACAACGACCTGGCCAGCCCAGATGGCGTACAGCGCAGCGTAGGACTGATATCCAGTATGTAGGTAGGTAGGTAAAGTAGTAGTAGTAGTAGTAGTAGATCCCGATTTGGCCCGGACTTGGCCCTTCACGCGATTGACGAATAGAGGCACGCGTCGCGGCCAGCGCAGACAATGCAAACCAGTGCACCACCGAACAAAGAGGCGGCGGGCACCCCCGAATGCTTTGCATTACCCAGCGTGGGCCTGCGCGCAATGTGCCTCTGCAATACAAACAAAGATCCAACCGCGTTAGCTGTATGGTTACCTCCGACCATCTTCCTGTTTCAATATGCTCTTATCTTCTTTCTTTTTTTTTTTTTTCGTGCCCTATTCCTTCTCCATCGTGTTCTCTTAGAAATGTTTCTTTTTCTCCGATCGTAACGTGAACTTTTGAATTTGAGCTTTACAAACGCGTCAAAACTGTAATGTTCCGTTAATCACGCGAAGAAATAACCGAGGACTTGAGACGCAGGTTGCAAGAGAGTCTGATGCGTACAAGCGACTGCTGTATTGAAACGAGGTGAGAATATCTCTTATATCATTCTGACGCAGCGGATCTTCGCTCGATTCCAAGTCAGTCGATACGATAAACTTGATGTGATTCTAATACCATTAAGTGGGACATACAAGATTAGCTCTTAGGTAACTGCATGCTCCCTAAATCAGAACCAAGCTTGACAATTTTCAGTATTTAAATGACTCGAATGTTAACCGTTTGTTATATTTTCGGATTATACACACTTTTAACGGAACATTACATTGCAGTGGAGATTTGCAGAAACTTCGGTCAGAATAGAGCATTGTAAAAAAAAAAAATAAGTAAAATAAAAAAAAGAAAATAATAATTGATCATAATTCTGGGGAAAAATCGATACCGTGTGTATTGATCAGTTGCTTTTCCATGTTGCAGAAAAGTAACTGATAATACACGACATCGTTGCGTCATGATACAAGTCGAAGGTTTTGAATTACTTACCGAGACCACGTGCGGCGACATCGGTGGCAACGAGAATTGGCGCCTTGCCTGATCTGAAATCTACAAGTCGACCAATAGGTATAAAATAATACTTAAAACTTGACTTTTTTTTTTTTTTTTTCACGCGGGAGATACTCAAAATCGCTCGTACCTTGTAAAACCCAATCTCGTTCCTGCTGCGTCTTGTCGCCGTGAATGCAAACGGCAGGCCAGCCGTCGCGTTTCATTTTTCTCGTAATTTCGTCTACTCTACGCTTTGTTTCAATAAATACTATAGTTTTATTCTCGCTCTCAGCCATTATTTCTTTCAACAGAGTGCTTAATCTGCAAATATTTGAGAGAACAGTTCTTTTTGATCGATAAAAATTATCGACGTATCGATATATCGAAAAGCCGATAGATCGATAAAGTTTAAACTGGCACCGATATATCGGCGACGATACTAACTTATTCTCTTTCTCATAATCTTGACATACGTCAATTATCTGCAATATATTATGATTTGCTGCAAGCTGCAGAGAACCAACATTAATTTGAGCATAATCCTTAAGAAAATCCTCAGCTAAGTTCTTCACTTCTTTCGGCCATGTGGCTGACCACATTAACGTCTGTCTGTCTGGTCTAATTTGTTCTATGATTTTTCTGATTTGAGGCTCGAATCCCATGTCTAACATTCTGTCAGCCTCGTCTAATACCAAATATGTACATCTTTTCAGATTAGTCTTGCCAGACTCGAGGAAGTCGAGCAATCTACCAGGCGTGGCGATAACTATTTCCACACCACCATCCAGATCCCTAGCTTGAGCGCCTTTCGGCGCTCCACCATAGAGACAAGTGTTCCTAATGCCTGATGAGTGGCCGAAATCATCAGCGACTTGTTGTATTTGTTGAGCAAGCTCTCGCGTTGGCGCTAATACTAATGCGATAGGTCCGTCTTTTCGGCTTAGTTTTGGCTGGCTATTGATGTGAACTATCGCAGGCAATATGTAGGACAATGTTTTTCCGGATCCCGTGGACGCTATGCCCACCATGTCTCGTCCACTCAACGCGATAGGCCATCCTTGGGCCTGAATCGACGTTGGTTCACTAAATCCCTGTCTCCTGTAATATGGACAATTTAAAATCACTATATCTACAGATGTCAAAGCTTGATCTTTGCAATATCACCGCGTACTCACGTGATCTCCTTCAAAACATAATCTGGAAAACAAGCCTCGTCAAAATTAAGAACAGGATTGGGTATGTTCTTGCCTCTCAGTGTAATCTCCTTTTCGCTTCTGTATTGTTCCACAATACGCGGATCCCGATTTTGGACAGCTTCATTGGGAACATAAAAATCTTTTTTGAAAGGCTCCAATCGACTGAGGTCCCATCGAGGTTTCCTCAGGTTAGCACCGGGTTGTCCACGACTGTTACGGCTACTCATAGGTCTGTCACGACCGCCGCTACCTCCCCAACTCCTCCTGTCACGCGGTGACCTACTACGCGAGCGGGTACGTGATCGGCGTCTTCTGTCTCTATCGCGACTGCGGCTGTAAAGAATCGCACGTTGAATTTAATCGTAGACTCAATTTCTCCCGCATTCGTCGGAGAGCAGCTGCCAAAATTCTGTTGAGAACGCTTTCCGGAAGATAACCACTACTATATAGCATGGATGCGCTCGCGTCGGTGCGACGTGTCCGAGAAAGTTCACCTTAAAATTGGCCTATTTACCTCCTGTAACGACCCATATCTGTGTTTCGTCGGGATGAACTTTAGCTTTCTTTTTAAACGCCGTTTCTTGTCAATAAACAGGCTGCGACAGTTCGCATACGGAAATCGTAGAAATCGAATCCAACGTACTCGATCAAGTGACGCAAAAGAAGCGCCACTGATAAAGTAACGATGTAGTTGCGCGATTCCTCGCGCCTAAAGAGCTTCTAGTAGGAGAGAAGTGCCAATAGGGTCGAGTGATGAGCTACTCTGTGATTGGCTATCGTGATTCCCGCTTCTGTTTGGCTGTATGCCAAAACTCTACTCGATGGGTAGAGTAGCATTTAATTGGCCAATTAGGAGCCAAAAAGTTTTCCTTACATGAATTTACAACTATTTAGTTTCTACTACACAAGTGCTTTGATCATTCCCAAACTTTGAGAAATTGATCAATCGATCGTTTTCCTTACATTCGACTGTGATTCATCAATTTCTTAAGGTTTAAAGCACCTATTGTAGACGGAGACTTACCGGAAAACTTGAGTTTACTTGGTTCTGAGGTCACAAAAGCACACCAAACAATGATGTTTCCGAATGCAGCCGGGATGTTTCAGAACAGCTGGTATCTAGTAATGTGCCGTGTGTGTTTCTTAGGATTTAGAATAAAGCCTGGGTCAGACGATACTCGTTTTCTCGATAGATCTAGTGAGATATATCCTGTAACATATCGAAAATCAACCAGTCAGAATGCAGCATTTCTAATATGTTACTAGATCTTACTAGATCTCCCGAGGAAACATGTGACGCGGGCTTAATTCCAGGAAAAGAGATGTCAAAGCGGCCGGCAGCGAATAAATCCTAAGAGAAAGCGATATCGTCGTTACTATACTATCGCGATTCCCAGCCGATACCGGGCATCGATATTAGCGCGGGCGTCCGTTGTAAGTGTCTGGCTGCGCGGACGGAAATGCGCGCTCATAGGCAACATCGGCGGCGCGCGCACACATGCACGCGCGATGACATACACGGACAGCACACGAACAAAGTCCAGTCGGGCACACTATCGCAGAGCAGCGAACGAGGAAGGGACTCTCCGCTAGCCAGTGAACCATTTTTCTGTCGTCAAACGGATCAAGCTTTTTGTGAGACTTGGATCGATCACAAAAAGCGGGATTCGCTTTTCGCATAGGAATTGGCCTGCCGAGGAGCCAGCTGAAGTTCACGCAGCACGTCCGCCCGCAAAACCAGTGAGTAAGGCGCGTGTTTGTCCGGTGACTTTGAGCCGAATCGCGTAGCGGACGATGCATACATAGTGCCGTGCGACCGGTCGCCCACCGTCGTCAACGCGACGATTCGCCGCACGATGTTGTGCCTTTTGCCGGCCCGACGGCGATCCACCGGCAGCCAGCCGTTCCCGGCGAATCCATGCGTATTTCTCGCGCGAGCGTTATTACGGGTCAATCGATGGATTTTATAACAATCATGGCGGCCATGCCGGCATGATTTTGCGCGACGGTTGTCCGTCGGCGATTGTATTCGCGAGACGCGGCTCCGTCGCGTTCGACAGCCCGTCTCAATTTGGCACGCCCCGAACACTGACGTCCCGTCGCTATCTTTTTATCATGACCAACGGAAGTTTGAAGTAAGCGTTGGAACTTTGTATGCGGTAGGGATAGTTCGAGTACTTGAGTCGTTTGTGTAAATTGACCGCTATGCAGCTCTATGTATGTCATTACTCAATTAGGTAAATATACGAATGTATGTAACGTAAACAATCTCTCTATTTGGGAACTACAGTGCTTAGTGATGTCAAGTTAGCGATTTTCCCTCCTGTAACGTCGGAATAATTTATGCCCGAACGGATGATGCTTGTGTTTTTAGGACGTCAAAATGGAGGAAATGCATCAAGCAGCACAGGTTGGGCCTAACATGATACCTGGTGTAGGCGGTGTTTCTAATCATACAAATAATGTCAATCGCCGCAGTAGAATGCGAGTGTCTATACACGCCATGATGTTGGAGAAATTACCTTTACATGAGGCAGCCCGCATGGAAATGAAGGCGATACCCAGCAAAACACCCGTCTCGGTTCTCCAAGAGTTACTTTCCCGTAGAGGCACAATACCGAAATATGAACTGGTACAAATTGAAGGCGCTATTCACGAGCCTACGTTTCGATATAGAGTCACCGTTGCCGATGTCGTTGGTTTGTATATACGTGACGTATTTATTCTTACGAATAAAGCCTATGGTGGATGATGTGTGTGTGTGTTTTTTTACGCTGTGTTGCATCACGATACGTCTCTCTGATGTGTGTTAGCTGTGCGACTAACAAATCACCATAGATTTACTACTCATCGGTACGATGTTTAGTAAAAATAGATATATAGTGATATGATAGTCGCATAGTCAACATCATTTGCCGTAGGCTTATAAGGTACCAGCCGGTAAGTATAAAACTATTCAAGCAGATCCAATTGTTTCAGCAATGGGGACTGGCAGGTCCAAAAAGGAAGCTAAACACGCAGCTGCGAAAGCTGTGCTGGACAAATTAATCGGGGTAAATACTGAATCTTCAGAATCTCCACTCCCAAATAATTTACCAGAGTGAGTATTGTTTAGCTCGAGTTTGGCTCAACAGTCAGGACATTTGTGTTTACACAAAAAATACAAACATGGCAAGACAATTGAAATTTAACCGTTTTCTTCCACAGTTCGCAAAATTTACAAGAACTGCAAACATATGGAGAAGAAAAAGTAGTGAACAATCCAATCGGAGCCTTACAAGAAATGTGTATGTCTCGTCATTGGCCACCACCAAAATATACAATGGAAGGTGAAGAAGGTTTACCTCACGAAAGACAATTCACTATTGTTTGTTCAATATTAAAATATCGCGAAGTCGGTCAAGGAAAAAGCAAGAAGGTCGCTAAGAGGCATGCCGCTCATAAAATGTGGCAAGCGTTACACGATATGAATAACCAAGCTCCTACTGTGGACGAAGATGAGGTAAAAAAACTCACATTCCTACTCGCAGTTTTTTTTTATCATTAGTTTAAATGATAGACATAAATTTACTCGTGTATCATATGCTTTGTCACTGTCATTATGCGATACTTAGGTATTCTAAAGAACTAACAATTAGTGATACTTGTGGGTCCGGTGTGTGTGTGTGTGTGTGTGTGTGTGTGTGCGCGCGCGCGCGCGCATGCTTGTGAATTTAGCGAAGTGGAAGTGATTTTTACTTAACGCCACTTTATTAAACGTAAGCTATCTTTCCGATCTGTTTGAATCTATAACGGACCATTATTTAGACGACGCAGCGTTTCATTGTTCGACTGTGATTATGTATTCTATTGCAAGAATAATCATATGTTTTTGGGTCATTTCCACTTCATTTCAATTTTTTTTTTTTAGGTAAATGTGGAACAAACGACTATTGATAAAGTATTTTCCTATAAATGATCATTGGGGAAGGTTTATGCATTATCACAAGTTTTACATGTTATTTTACATATAATTGTCCGTTATAGATTGTGCAAAGAAATGCAAACGTAAGCGCCCGTTATGCCGATCTGAAAGGTAGCAAAATCTCAACACTGACAACAATTCATAGTATCCAAGTCTCGAAATTTCACAAGAGTCTCAAGTCGTCCACAGGTGTTAAGCTTTTTCAACTGCAGGTGTGTATTCAATTTGCTTCAATCAATTGAGTAGAGGAATAAAAAAATATTCCGATATTCGCATCTTTCTACTGACAAGCTAGAATAAGTGTTATTATGTGGCTGTACCAAAATATTGATGTACGTATATATGAAATTGGCGAGTGACGTGGAAATCATTTTAATTTTGTTCCAGAATACTTGTTTCAATGATGGCGATGTAAATTTGGTACAATTCTTGCAAGAAATTGCATCGGAGCAGCAGTTTGAAGTAACTTATGTTGATATCGAAGAAAAATCTATCAGCGGTAAGTTTCTATCTATGCTATACATACGCAAGCGTTTTCACTTTAGCAATAGTTATGCACGAAATAAAATTATGTTCATCCTTTTTATTCTGTCATTACGTGTTTTATCATTACATGTTATTTTGTTCCACTTTCATCATTATCCACTGAGTACAATATCAACGGGCACATCATGTTCGTTCACTGGTACCTCTTCTTGTATCTGTTCTTTAAACCCTACTGCTACCAAATACGGTCTTTTATTTTGTTTTTCGAAACATCTCTTTAAATATTTGTCGTAATATCCCATTCCATGTCCTAAACGTTTTCCTATAACAATAATAAGATATAAGTTTAATCTCTTGAAAAGTTATGATATGTGCGTGTAAAAAAAAAATATTTAATAACAATGTCTGTGACGACGTACCGTTTGCGGTGAAAGCGACTCCTGGCAAAATTATAAAATCTAATCCACCTGTGATGCACAGAGACTGAATTACTGATTAATAAAACATTTGCTAATTTGTAATAAGTCTGAAAATGTTTCGGTTTCTTTTGATTACATGAAAGTAAAGCGAAAACTGGCTAAAAAGAATAATACATTTGAACAAACATAATAGCAATTAGTTTCATAATGTGTGTATTATTTATCGTTCTTTTTGCTATTATTAATTAAAGTAATATTGTATCCTTCGCAAGTACTACTTTACCACATTGCACAGTAAAATTACCTGTTTCTAAGGCGTTTTCACGGTGTTCGGTAATGCTGGGCTGTTTAATATTCCACTTTGTTAATGGCAGTGCCTGGTAATCATCCATTGATTTTAGTTTTACCATCTCCATAGTTTTTCCATGGTATTGTGGTATAAATGCTTCTTTCCCCATATCAAATATATGTTTTAAAATGGGCACAGTATCGATTTCATCCTCAGTACTTAGGTATAATGAAATTCTCTTGCTATCTTGATATTGCTTCAATGCACGCAACTATAAAAAGCAATAACAACTTTCTTGAATGACACTGTTCGTTATAGTCACATTGAGTTGCAACATCTTGGAATAAAATAAATACTTGACATAAATACAAAAATAAAATATATACTTGACATTTAATGAAAGAGAGAAGGAAACAAGAGAATTACAAGATAGTTAGAAATGCGCAACTATAAAAACACAGACATATCGTCACATATATTGCAAGTTACTGTCACATTGCTCGTGTTCAGCAAAAAAAAGAACTCTAAGTAAGCGCTTTGGGATTATTACTTCTGATTGGTACATTTCTCCTGAATCTAAATGAAATCTAAACTAAATATTCCAATTATAGACAATCACGAAGCAGCTTATTAAGCTGTTTTTTCCGCTGAATGCAGGCATTATGAAGATTACAAAAAGTGTACATAACCTCTTAAGAGCATTCAAATAAAAATCATTGTTCTATTCACACTCCTCACACTCACCTTTTCAAACACTTTTACAGATTGTATTTTTTTCTCTTCCGAGCTAACATTTTCAAGGATATTTGTGATTTTCCTCCTTAAGGCACTCTTAGCTGATGATACAGCCATATTGTGTAAAATTGATCCTGCAGATGCACACTTACACACTTACAGACCCACTCGCACGCACATTTTATATGCCCATATTTTCCTTTTTCATAGCCGCATTAGATATCAGTATTATTACGTAGTTGTAGTTTGTGACATCTGTGACCTTAGATAAACACATGTATCTTTTCTCACACAAGATATCTTAGCGATATTAGCATGTATCATTCTGATATATCATCACGCGATACACGTTGGGATATAAAAACGTGACTTTATTCCAAAGGTAAATTCCAGTGCCTTGTGCAACTGTCTACCCTGCCAGTAGCAGTTTGCTATGGTTGCGGTGGGACTAGTAAAGATGCTCAAGCCAGTGCTGCTCAAAATGCTCTGGAATATCTGAAAATCATGACCAAGAAGTGAGCCAGCGCTTCGCTCCTGCCAACCGTCACCATCAATTGCAAGCCCCACGATAATTTGGCATCGAAAAGTCAGAACAACACGGACGTCAAGGTATTATCATCGAACAATCAGATCTCCGATAAAGGGAAAGGTGGGCAAAAGCCGGACCACGTCAGCAAGGGTAGAACGTCGGTCAGGACCGCCGCAGTGGTCAGCAAAGACGCCACCTTCTCGTCCGCGATCACCGCCAGCAAAATTAGCTCATCGATGAAGAAGAATGACGGTAATAACGAGAGTCTGAGCGAACAGCACACGACGAAAAACGCATCGATCGTCAACGCGAAACAGTCCGGCTCTGCGTTCGTGCAGCGAGCCGTCAGCGCATGCGTCAACAGCGCGCACGAGAACAAGCCGAAGGATTACGCCGCGAAGAAGTTTCCGGGTGAAGCGGCCATCAAGAATTATCCCATTCAATCGGATTACAAGGAGGTGTCCAATCCGGATTACAAAAGCAGGAACAGTTCGTCGATGGCCAGTCTGCCGCTGAGATTCGCAACGCAGTCGTCGTCCGCGCTGCACCGGGAGACGTATCGGAACGACAGCAGCGCTTTCGCGGTGGCGCGCAAAGCCTTGGAGCAGCAGCAAAGCTCGAAGATGGCGCCGATCAATTTCCCGCCGCTGCGCGCACCGCAGAGCATCGTCAACGTCCGGCACCCGTTGCTGACGGACGCGCGGACCAAGCACAGCGAGACGGTCGGTCCAGCGACGGCGAAGTCCATGGGCTCCCTGCAGAAAGACCGGCAGACTTACCACGGATACGGCACCTCGCCGATGCAGAGTCTGAGCAACGCGGTGACGGCCAGCATCTCGCCGTATCCCAGACCGGCGGACCCCTTCCCGACGGTCGCGAGCGTATTGTTCCCGGACACCGCGCAGTTCCCGCAGTCGCCGCCGTTCAACACCACGCAGTTGGGCCAGTATCAGACCTACGACCCCGGCAGCTTCGCCACCACGCCGGTGAACCCGCAGGTGATACCGCAGTTCTCCGCGGAGAGCTCGATCCCGTATCCGCAGTACGAGAACCCGGCGCAGTTCGTCCAGCCGAATCATTACCCGACCGCGGACATCACCAACAGCCAGTACCAGTATCAGGCGGCGGGGGTAGGTCAGATACAAGACTCGTCCATGTTCATACAGAGTCTGCAGAGCCCGATCGCGGTGACCGACCAATACGCCGCGCCGAATTACGCCAGAGCCGTGAGGACGGAGCTGATACCGCGCTTGAGGCGGCCGCCGCGTTTCAACAAGTAAAAGATCCGAAGGCGCCGAGCGGGGAAATATGCGGGTGTGTATTCACGAAGGTACGGTCGAGGTTGGATTCTCGTTGCGACCGGTGCTGCGCGATCTGGTCTGATCACTCGCCGTGGAGGATGTGGTGAAAGTTATTTCAATTCTTGATCCAGTTTGAAATAAATTTTAGCCAATCTCGGTTCAATAGACACGATAGGTACGAACGAGGGGGGTCGGCAAATTTTCACGTGGGTATGCGCGCTCACACGACGACGTTTCGCGTGATAATGATGAGTTTCACTTGTTTCCGTCATTCGATGTGACACGGCAGGGCAGAGTGAGTTGAGCTCAACTCTAATTTTATGATGTAATTTATCTCGAGGAAAATAGCGTGAACACGTTCAGGTAAAGGGGCTACAAAGGAAAAAAAGAAAATTACACGCTATATGTGCGATGTTGTACCTAAATTTTGACTGCTGATCAGGACGGTCCTATCCAGCAAAACGAGGAAGAGTGAGAGAGAGAGCGCGGGTTTGCGCTCCGGGAACGTTCTGATCGTTTCTTTCTTTTGGTTTTGCGCGCACGCGCTTGCGCGGGAGAGCGAACCCGTCGGCACCGGCTGCGCTCCGACGGAGGGATAATGATGATGATTCTTGAATAAAAGGATTAAAAAAAAACGGGAAAACACAAAAAGAAAAAAAATCTCACACTATTATCATAAGTTCTAGTTTTAATGAACGATATTCTACAAACTATACTTTGCATAGAATTAGTGGAAGTTTTCCAATATACCTACATAATACTTAGCTTATCGCTATGTTTTTAATGTGCTTCACTATTTGTATATCGGGTGGTGGTGTAATGATGCCTGATGAGTGTGTGTGAGAGAGATTGGGAGAGAAAAAAAAAAGAGTACATGTGTATGCGCGTGTATATGTGTGCTTATGCATGAGAGGAAGAGAGGTGCGAAAGAGAGAGAGAGAGTGTGTGTGTGTGGAGAGAAAAATTGCATACAATAGGAAAGACCGTGGTGCGGGACGGACGTTAGGAATTTTTATCACTACAGAAGAGTAAAATGACGATCGTACGAATTTTGCTCCCATACCGCGAAACATTACATCTCCACTAAGCGTATGCACAGTGCAAACGTAGCTTTCGGCGATCCGAGTGTAAGCTGTAAACGCGTGATCGCGGATATAAGGATATAATCTTTCAGTGGTGTATGTTTTTTCCTTTAATATGGTAGCTCATAAACTCATAAGCATCACATATAATACGCGTAAGGATTAATCGTTAAGGATTCCTCATTAAGTACACATGTCAAGTCTAGTAGTCGAGTGTGTACCCGTGGTGTGTGTACTGAATTTCGAATTGCCTACGTACAATTGACGTCAACCGGATGAGACTTTTATACTGAATGAAAAAGAGTAACATCGCAGCATTGTGAGTGGAGCACACGAAGCGCGTCGAACGGCAGGACGGCTCGATCGAAAATCAGGAGAAAGAGAGAGAGAGAAAGAAAGAAAATGAGTGAGTGTAAGAAAGAGAGAGAGAGTGTGTGTGAGAGAAAGAGCTCTCCTCCGATCCAGTCGCCGGCTGTTGTATTCACGAATCGTGACGTATCCCTTTGGTTCGTCAAATGCGTATTAGAAAAGGGTAAGACCGATTTCACCGACATTTGTTAATCCAGATCTCGATCGAACGGATCTATCCTCGTTCGTTTTGCTCTAAAGGCTGAAAAAACGGTCCCGAGAAGAAGGAACATGTCAGAGTCTCGGGGGGGGGGAGACAGGGATCCGTCGATCGGAGCTGGATAAAATGATTGTGGGTGCAGTTAGTCCGATCAAGGAATGAATTTGCGGCAAAAAGGAAAACGGGAAGGAGCGATGAACGGTGTTCGATGCGTAACACCAACGAACGGCATAATCTTTTCTTCTCCTTTACGATCGGCATTTTCTCGCGGTATCTTTCTTGCAAAATTGTACATATGCGTGTGCATACGCCGTTTTGAGTTGCGATGATTCAGGAACTTCACGGTACCGTCAACTTTTGTCACGGTACGTCACCGTTAATATAATTCGTACGTGAGTGGTATTCTTTTGTAGACAGTGCCGCCGCGAAAACGGCACGGTAAGGTAGAGAGAGCGAAAGAGAGAGAGAGAGAAAGAGAGAGAGATTCGTTCCAAATGTCAGGGCCGAAGGCAGCAACGTTGATCGGTGCCAGTTGTAATCGCGGAAATGTTCCGAGAAGAAGAAACCCAGGAAAAAGAGGCATTTCCGCGATTCACGTTTACCAAAGTAAATCCGCAAAGTCGCTAAGCCGCTCAATGATTTCGCAAATATCTCGCGGAGTACTTTCGGGATCATTCGCGGCTGAGGTCCGCACCGGTCGACGTTTGAGCCTCTCGGAAATCGGCTGAACATACTGCTGGAATTAACCGAAACGAAATCGTGTATGCACACTTTGTTCGATCGTCAGCCCGTCGACGGGCGACGGTCCATCACAGCGCAAGCGCGTTCCTGTAACACCTCGACGGCGACAGAGAGGACGGCAGGATACGTTCGCGCGCGGTCGAGGTATCACAGGAGGACGCGGGTAACAGAGCGAGATCGCAAGGCAGAAGGGAGGTTTCAGTCGCCCGCGCGTGACTCAGTTGATTGTGAAAGTGTGTTTTCTCATACGTATATCTTTGGAAAATAGGCATTACTTACATGCAAAGTATAGAATGTGTATGTGTATGTACAGACATACATTCGCTAGAGCGATTATAAACGAAGGGAAGCGGTCGTCTCCTCTTTTGCTTTATGTACGGGAAACGCGACCTCCTCGGGGGTGGATTGTCGCGGCAGCCCCCCTCGAAGCCGAGGCGATCGATTCGCGATCTCGACAGTGGTCGTCGCCGATCGTTTCAAGCGATTTCCCACGAGACGAAGCGGAATTCTCCGTCACGAGAAACCAGAGGCGAGAACCGAGCGGACGCGACGCGGTTTCGCATTCGTTCGACGCTCGTTTCGACGTCCCGGCCCGGGTACTCTCTGACAGAGAGCTCCTCTACAAAGATACTTTTGTTCTTTCCCCGCGTGATTCGTTCGGATTCCTCGAGAAGCCGCCTCGCGTTCGATATCGCGATTTTCCGCGCGACAGCACTCTCAAGGCGCATTCTTTCATAGGACAAAATCGGTTTTCCGACCACACGGTCTGCAGAAAGTGCTTTACGAGATCCGATACACATCGTGCGCGATGAGTACGATGCACATTCCACTTTCATACGGCGTGATAATCCCAGATACGCCATTGTGAGGAGAGAGAGAGAGAGGGGGACGGGTGCGGTAACGGTGAAATTCAGTCCGTCGAAATTGTATATCCTTCATGGAGCTTTCCCCGCCTCTTTTTTTTTCTCCAAACGACCTCACGAAATCGAACTGAAAGTTTCGAATTAGCGTCTCGAAATTCGGCGTGCCGTTATAAAGCAGGTTTATACATATATATATATCGATTCAACGGTATCCTGATTCCTCTTTTAACGAAAATTCGCTGGGTGACGCACAGAATAATCGCAGCGTCGTGTTTAGCGCCTTTAACCATCGAGAGAGAGAGAGAGAGAGAGAGAGAAAATGAGAGAAACGGCGAGTCTCTCTCAGAGTTAATTTCCGATAATTTAAGTCGCACTTGATCGAAGTACCGCCGACGAGCTTCAAGCACGGCGATACTTCGCGGGCGGAAGCCAAAAACCGAGCTATTAGCGTAGAGGGAAGAAAAAAGAAGGAGAGCGCGCGACATGTTCGATGCGCGGAACTAAAAAAATGAAAAGAAAAAAAATCTAAAAAAAGAAGAAAGGGAGATTAATAAAAAGAGAAATGTAGAGAGTGAAAACGGACGAAGCGAACTCTTCGGTCCCAACCTCTGGACCGCGGAGGTGGTCTTCGTGGACCAATTATTAGGGATGAGAAAAGGAACCGATGGGTCTTCGATACGATCCACGACAGACCTTTTGCTTTCGCTTTTCTTTTCTCGTATCCTCCGCTATTAAAGGACGAAGGACGCGTTGGATAAGGACGTATCGGCGATAGATGGACATGCGAACGTCTCCTGCGAGGACACGAGGATAGGTTCGTCGTGTTATACCGCGACGGAACCAGCGGGACGAGAAAAGGAATCGACGAGTCTTCGACCCGATCCTCGACAGACTCTCCCTTCGCTTCCCTTTTCTCGTTCATATTCTCAGCGATCGATATGTGGGACCTCCTGGACCGCTCGCGTTCATCCGTGGTTGTGCGCCGAATCGGGAGCGCGTTTTTCGCCGTTTTCAGCGGCGAAATCAGTGCCACTTTGTTACGAATAATCAATCGATGATCTAGAGTTCTGATGCGGTTTTATTATCGCGAGTTTACGAATTTCTCGCGTTTATTAACCGATTGTTATATTATTAACTTTATACACTACGAATTGCCAGAATAACAAGGATCGCCCAACCGGTGTGCGAATTGCAACCTTTGGGGAAAACAAACAAAGAGTACATGTTCAACGATAACTTATGTGTGCATCGGCTGCTTCTACTTAAAATTATTGCGAGATAACAGTGTATATTTGTGTACATTTGATTGATAACTTTTATTAATAACTCCTTTCGGCTCGCGCGACTCAGTTGTTCACGCGGTGTCCCGCGATTTTTATCACGACGGATGTGCCCGATCGCGGTTCATCAGGTCCGCGTTGATCCTCGGGTACTGCTACGCGTCGAGACGGACGTTAGCAGCGCTCAAGGATCGAAGAGGTATTTTTTTTGCGCGCGTGCGACGTAGTTCTCAGTTTCATGATTGAGCGAAAACTAGGAGAGTATTATATAGCGCGATTATTTTCGTTTCCGTCGCGCGAAGCGTTTTCTAAGGCTTTATAAAGAAAAAAAAAAAAGAATGAAAGAAAAAGAAGAATCAGTGGAGGAAACGTAGGACGCTACGTGTAGATAGAAAATGAAGACGATCTTGAAGACAAGTCGCGACAAGTGTTTCGCGACGAGAACGTAATAGTGCGTCTCGGACGTGCGGCGCGAGTCAATTTGTTTTCGGATGGATCTCATGTTCTATGCAATTGTACAAAACAAGCAGTGTCCGCTCTGTGAAAAATTGGATTTACGCGATAGAAGACGGAGGAGGAGCAGCAGCAGTGAACGATAAATCTTCTTGCATGCCGATTTATAATCCTCGCGTCACAAATGAATTTTCGTTTCTTGTTATTAGTGTCTTTGATTCGATCGTTCTTGTACCCGCGATGCATTTGATAACAAATTTCTCCACAAATCTTGCGTGCGAGAGAGAATTGCGTAAGAGATCTACGGAATTAAATTAATCTTTAACTGGTACGAAGAAAAAGAAGTCGTAGGAGAGATCGAAAGGAAAAAAAAAAGAGAAGAAAATAGCACGTGTATTTTTCAAAATTTTGATCCTTGCTACTTCATCGTACGAAGAACAAGAGATTGTCGAACGCGTAAACAAAAAAAAAAGATAGGAAATGTTATTAGAGTAAATCTCGTATAACACGGACTTCGCAATTAACACGATACCAGTTAAGAGTTAAGTATTAATTCGAATTATTTTATTTATTTCTATTTTCTTTTTCTTTTTGCGATAAGGAAACTATATAGGTGGCTTTCCATTTAGTGACACAAGTCGGCACAAGCTTCATTTCATCATTTGTTCCATATCCGATAAGTGACAAAGAGAATAAGATGATGCTCGTGTCGACTTGTGTCGCTAAACAGAAAATACTACGTTGATGACACACACATTGAGTCGAACTTTGCAAGCAGCTTTGCAAGATGTACATAAGGAATCAACCGAAGCGAAGCATGAAGCGTAGCTCGCGGCGAGTTTTATTTCACGCGAGCGAACTTTTTTCATACGCGACTTATATATATTTTTACTTTTCTTTTTCTCACGTTTTTCCCTTCCCCTTCCCTTGGTCGAGTTGTTTTTGCTTTCGTTAGTTTAATAAGTTAAATTATCCTTTACTGCGCGAGCGAGCGGAGTTATTGATTCAACGAGTTAAGTAACATGACACGGACATGGCATACAGATAACGACTTAAAACCGTATTACGGAGCCCTATCTGTAACGCGTGGGGTATCGATATCTTATAATCTGGCAAAAGGTTGTTCTATGTATGATTGTGCGTGTAACATTGTTAATAAACATACGATGCTTATGAAGGCTCCTACCTACTTATTTTCATTTCCGTGCTGCGCACGAGACATGCGTTTGTTCATACGTGTATTTATATATGCGCAGAAAACTTCGCTCTGAGCCTCTCTCGCCTCACAACTGCAAGAAGACGATTGCAGAGACGCGATGTATCTTTGAACAGTAACCCGATCTTCCTTGCTTTCTCGTGTATGCGCGTGTATATGTGTGTGTGTGTATGGTGTGCGTGGTTGCGATCTTTGTAAATTCAGTTCTCTTACAAAGTCCGGCCTCTCTATGGAAAACGAGAGGCAGCATTTTGTAAAAAAAGTCAGCCTTTTTACGCGAGACGTAATACTGAAATCTGCAAGAGCAAAAGAGCGATCTGTAAAGATCCGCAAAAATATACAACATTTAACTAAATATAGAAGTTATAATTGGCTCCAAGATAATAAAACAATAAAAGGAGAAGATATCGAGAGGCAAACCGCTGTTATCCGAGCGAAACGAATATATTTTATTAACATTCTGAAAAAATGTTTTGGTCCATCGTAGACTCTCTTCGGTTACAAACAAAAATATATATAAGAAAATTGTCATACATCTTCAGTGTATAAGAAAATAGGTCAATAACAAAAGAAATACAAACAAACCGAGAGAACACGAATACTTATTATTTGAAAATTAAACTGGTGAAATTCGATTTCAATTACAACGGTGTATAACAATCATTCAGAAACGCATATTTATACTATTTTTTTTGTCTTTTCATAAAAAGCATCTCCGATATTCTTTTAAAATAGAACCGTTCGTAATCCAGAATTTTAACGTCATCCTATTTAAAATCATGGCCATATTATAATTTATGTTTCGCTGATATTCGCGATATTTATACGATTAATATGTAAACATGTAAACGATGTTCTTTTACTTTAGTTTTTTTTATTTTCTGCCGGTTTGGCCAACATAAGAATGTACGCAAGTTTGCGTTTGTCTCGCTAGCTCTGAGTAAACTGTCTATTGTTGAACTTGAAGAAAATATATATGGTGACTATTTATATATGTATATATATACTTTTTGTTTGTAGCTAAAGAGAATCTGCAATAGACCGAGACGTTTTTTGAGACGTTACTAAATTATACTTATTTTATTTGGACAACAGCAGTTTGGCTCTCACAGGCTATTCTCTCTTTTTAACGTCTAACTGATATTTAACCGTGAATCACCGGGCGTCTCGGAACAGTCTGTAAAGAAATTACGAACGGTATCCTCTGTGTACAAGCGACAACCTTTTATTTACCGATACAAAAGTTTTTAAATATAATATCTAGTATCTCATCGGTGCTCACGTGTCCCGTTATCCTCCCAAGTTCTCTCATCGCCTTGTGAATCTCCTCCGCTGCGATGGCCATGTCGTGCTGCTCGTTCGCGCACAGCTCGAAGTAATTCTGCAGATGCCTCAGGCATTGCGTCAAATGATTCCTGTGCCTCGCCTGGCTGATGGTCGGACTCTCCGCGGACGGATTGCCACATCTGAGCGAGACGTAAAAATGCAACAGGAGTATTAAATGTCAGAAAAAAAATTGCGATCGCAAGACCTCGTTAGTCCTACAATAACATTAGAATCCTTAGAAGCAGATTTTACGCAATATATATTGTAAATTTGATCGACAGTTTGCTAGCAGAGATACAACGGGCTGTGCTAGCAGAATGTGATGACAGAAATCTAGCAGGATCATCGCTTCGTTTATAAATTAAGTGTATTTATATTTTCTCTTAACTTCGTGAAGACACGAAATAATTTCTTCGTCCACACATTTCGGTTCAAACCCTTCAGTAGTAAAAAAAAAAAGATTAGTCAAGTCGGTCAACATTATTATTTTAAATGTATTTAATTCAATGTAATTCAATTTAAATATTATTATTAAATATTTAATTAAATGTGTTTAAATAGAATATATTGCGTGCGGACCCTGCTCGGTTTTTGTGTCAGCAGGCTCTGTCGACAGAAAACGAGCTTAATACATCTACGGATGTGCCACGATATTCAAAGAGATCTGATAACTTGTTGACTGCAATCGTTTACACGTACATATCCGTGAAGCGATCGGTCAGCGATCGCAGCAGATTCTGAAAGCCGTTCTCCGTCTTGCAGGATACCAAGACCGCCTCGGTGTCGCTCAGCCGTCTCTCGTCCTCCTCTCCCAGCAAGTCTCTCTTGTTCATGACCACAACGAAGCGCCGTTTTCCCATCTCCGTCAAGAGCTCGTGTATCCCCAAGGACGACGAGTACTCGCGCACATAGTCGCCGTAAGTCATGCCGCTTGTTACAAAGTTGGACGCGTCCACGACGACGACGACGAAGTCGGCGTTCGCCGCGTGCTTCCTCGCGCGACGGACACCCTCGGCCTCGACGATGTCCTCCGTGCCATCCGTGATGCCGGCGGTGTCTGCTATCAGCACCGGGTAGCCGGAGATGTTCGCGCTCAGCTCGATGACATCCCTGGTGGTGCCGGCGACCGGTGTCACAATAGCGGCGTTTCGCTGCACCAAGCGATTCAGCAGGCTGCTCTTGCCGACGTTGGGCTCGCCGACGATGACGGTCCTCACCCCGTTGCGCAGAATCTCGCCCTTCCTGCCGTCGGCCAGGTGCTCCTCAATGCCCCTCAGCAGCTTCCTCAGCGCACCGTGCGCCCTCTCCACCACCTCGCTCTCGATGTTCTCGTCCTCGCCGAAGTCGATGTACGCCTCGAGACTCGCCACGCACTCCGACAGCACCTTCCTCCAGCTGTCGTACAGTTTGCGCAGCAGGCCGTCCGCCTGCAGCAGGGCCTGCTTCCTTTGGTACTCGGTCTCCGCTTCTATCAGGTCGGCTATGCCCTCCACCTCGGTGAGGTCCAGCTTGTTATTGTAGAAGGCGCGCCTGGTGAACTCACCCGGCTGCGCTGGGTACACCCGCAGCCTCGATAGAGCTTGCATCAGGCGGCTGAGGATCGCCGAGCCGCCGTGCACGTGGAATTCCACGCAGTCTTCGCCGGTGAATGAGCGGGGTCCTGAAAATCGGCCGTATCAAATGACGAGGAAATTACTTCAGTTAACGTCAATTAATCCCAAGGTAGAACAGAAGACGATGAAATGGCGTCGGAATAATGAGAACGTGACAAAATTCAATTTACGATTATTTTCACGTCATTTCTATCTGGGATTAATCGTTGTTAATTTTTAACTTTCAATGAGCACAATTGCGCACGAGAAGTCAAACGTACCGGGAAACCACAAGCAAAGTCCGTGGTCGATTACCTCTCCCGTCTCGGGGTCGCGTATCTTTCGCAGAAAAGCTTTCCTTGGCTCCAGCTTTGAGATGTTCGTCATCCTCTTCAGCGCGTCCATAGACCGGCTCCCCGACACTCTCACCACCGCCACGCCGCATTTTCCGTGTCCTTAAAAATTATGCGTCCCCCCTCAGACGGAACAGATGATGACAAAATGACAGGATAATGATCGAATCTTGATCGAAAAATGAGTTTTTATATCGTCATTTTGATGTCATCTTAATTTCCTATCCGGAGGCTCTAAGGATGACCAAACTCTGATTAAACTGATCGATGAATAATCGTAAGAATTTCCAGCATCAATTTCGCACCTTGTTCAACAATAATCGAAAAATTCATCATTCCTGCCTGCGTTGGTAAAATCAGCAGGTAACATTTGACTGACAATTTGAAATCGTCAATTAGTAGTTCAATCGGAATTTGGTAAGTCGTCCTCGAAACGAGCGGAACAGTGAAATTTAAACTTGGTGGAAGCATGCAGCAGGGAAAATCTGCCGATCAACTCGTTCGAAACACGTGTGGTATCGGAACGCTTGAAGAAGCTAAAGAGTCCCGACCCGCCGGTACTGGTAATCATCTATCGTAAGATAAAAAGTCGACACATCACATCCGCCCTGGCGAGGGAAAAAATCGATCGTATCATTCCCGCCCGTGGTTCTCGATCTCCGTGAATCGAACGCGTGGAGAGAAACGCGCGGCAAAGCGAGCGGGCTGGTAGGTTAAGTGAGACGCGGGGTGGGATAATAAGCGCGTTGCCGTGTATTTTGGACGTGTCCGATATGTAAGTGAATATATAAATGAATAACCGGAGGACAAGGCGCAAATGGTCGTGCCCTTCCGTTCGTTCGTGAAACAGCTGTGAGACGTCCCGCGCAATGCGATAGCTCGCGACCGGGAGGATCCTCGGCTGAGACACTCGCGGAGAAACATCGACACACAGGTGAGGCTGATACCGCGTAGTTGAAATGAACATCAACGGGCGACGGCGTGTTGGGCTGGGCAGCGACGAAGCAGCGATATCGACGCGGCGTCAGACCGTTCGGAACATCGTGCCGCGCGATTAGATCAGGAGCGGCGATCGAGACGTCGTGGGTAAATCGTTCGTTCGCCGAATTCATTGCTCTCATCGCAGTCGATCGACAGCGCGGTGGTCTCCGTCCATTACTCGGCGGCATATTTGAACGAACGGTTATTTCAGGTGAGCCACGTTGTCACGGCGGGATGACGGAGGTAACGAAGGTGAGCAAAATGGTGCAGGACAGATGCATCAAGTGGATGGAGGAGCTGCAGGAAGATTGTTACACCGAAGACACCACTGCCAAGCGGAAGAGCGAGACTGACTACGAGGATTGTTACGACACAGATTCGGAGTTCGACTCGGTCTCGGTGTGCGACGCCAAGAGACGCAGAGTGGGAACGCAATTGAAAGACGAAGTCCTGAATCTGATCTGCGAATGGGAGGAGTGTTCCTTTCACAGTAAACGCATCGAGGAGTTTCTCAGGCATGTTTCGAGTCATATACCTAGCGTACAAGTGAGCGTGAAGGATGACGATGAAGTTTACGTGTGCCAGTGGAAAGACTGTCCGTTTGAGGCCAAGATGTACGAAGAGGTGATACGGCACGTCAATTATCACGCCTATCATACGAAATTGAAATCTATCGGTTCCAATGTTCGTGGGAGGATCAAGCTACCCGTAAGTAATCAGTATTAATCGAAGTCGCATCGATGAGACCAGACAGAGACAGTTGTACTATTTCTTACAGAAGTGCCGTAAAGATTCAGATTGGAAGAACGTTATAGAAACTCCACCCTCGCACTTGTGCAGATGGGAGGAATGCTTGAAGGTGTTCACGAATTACCAGATGTTCCTGTATCATGTTACCATACACACGGAGGATTGCCCACGGGGCAATCGGGTTCAGAACGGAATCGAGTGCAAGTGGACCGGTTGCAGCGGCAAGTATCCCAGCTTGTACAAGCTGCGGGATCACGTGAGATGTCACACGAAAGAAAAGATTGTCGCCTGTCCGGATTGCGGTGTTACGTTCGCCTCCAAGACGAAATTCCACGCGCACTGCCAGCGGCAAATTCCCTTAGAAGGTAGAAATGAATCAGTGAAGCATCTTCTCTCTCTCTTTCTCTCACATCGTCGTTGAACTAATTTTATTAGCAACGCGTAACATTCGTAATTTACAGTACAGGGATTCCGATGTTCACACTGTAAGAAGTTTTACCCAACTGAGAAAATTCTGCGTGATCATATGAGATTCCACGTGTTCAACTACAAGTGTAGCCTTTGCGACATGAGCTGTGAGTCGCCAGCCAGCTTGGCGAAGCACGTCAGGTACCGGCACGTGTCAACCAGAACGTTTCAGTGCCAATTGTGCTCTCACGCCGCGAAATCGCAACAAGATATCGATACTCACATGACTGTCCATACCGATGGTCCGAATTTCTTCTGCCAGGAAGAAGGATGCCATTACACGTGCAAAGGACCCTACACTTTGGACAGGTATTCGTGAGAAGCTTTTTATCGAAATAACGGAAAAAGTTGCCCGAACACTTGTCACGATTGTCCGAATTTGTCCAGACACTTCGAACGAGCGCATAGCATGGTGATACGATGGTACTGTTGTCACGAATGCCCGATTAAATATCGGACGAGTGCTAGACTGACGAAGCATCTGACGGAAGCTCACCAGTTGCAACTGCCCACTGGACATAAGCGTTTCCATTACAAGCAGGATGAAGATGGATATTACAGAATACAGATGGTCAGGTACGAGGCCGTTGATGAGGAGAACGTGTCACCTGTCGAGGAGGCGAAAGAAGTACCGGATAAGAAGTATAAGATAGAACTAAGCCACACTGCGCCACTGATGGAAGTGAAGGTGGATATTATAGTGAATTAAGTTGGTTCAACATCTCTTCATCGGTCTTCGTACAATTTCATTCTGTCTAGATTATGGAAGACAGCACGGACGAGATGGAAGCCGAACAGCATTTACAAGAAGAAATGGTGGCGTCTGACATCGGTGAAGCTATGCCTGTTATATCGAATATTTTAATATCTATTGACGAAGTAGACGCGAAAGGAAATATTATAAAGCGAGAATTCGTGGAAACGCAGGAAACCAACGAGTTACCTCCGTCAGAGGAACCACCGTTAATTTTAACATAAGCTTGATAAACTTCTTTCATGAGAGGTATTCATGTATACATATTTTTTATATGATTGCATTATAACGATTTTATATTGGATGGATTTTTATACCACTTATACATTTGTTGTTACATCCAATTTTTAACAAGAATGACAATATTAAATCTTTCTTTTTATGTTATTACCATACTGTTTACAATTAATCTTCTGTTTATTTTATAGCATTTGACAACTTGCCTTAGCAAACTATGCTTATTACAATAGTGATGTACAAAAGTAAAACATCCTGTCTGCTAAAATTTAATATAATAAACTATGCAAATCAAGAATTTGTTTCTACATTTGTTGGAGTAATATTTAGCAGTATTGTAGCATGGTTATTTATATGATAACAAAATTGTCATTGAGCTATGATTGTATTATAAAAGTAATAAATTACCTGATGCTCAACGTGTTTAGTAGCAAGGATTCTACAAAAAAGTAGTATCTTAACGTGGTACAATTATCTTCTTTTGAATCCATATTTCTTCCTCTCATAGAAGAGGTCTGTTTTAGAGCTTCCTAGATTAACAATTTTAGGACAGCCATCTCTCTAAAAAAATATATATATATGTAGATTAAAAATATTTAATTTACAGAGAGAATTTTCACAGTTGTGTGAAAAAAGAAGTTAATGACCAACTTACATCTTTCTCTTGTATTGTACATTCTTTGCAGTAATATGCATCCGATACACCAGGACCACCACATATCACACAACGTCCCTGATAAGAACCATAATTGCACTCGTCGCATATCCTAACTAATGTGCAGGGTCTCACGTAGGAATCGCAAATGACACATTTGCCGTCGCATTTTTCGCACAGCCGACCAATAGCTAGAACAAGACAATCGCGTTAATTAGACCGGCAATTGAAGGTTAGACAGCGTCAACCTACCGACTCCCGGCTGCTTGCGGCAAAAAATTAAATCTGGATGATGCTTAGCCATGATCCCAAAATGTTGTTTTATTACTTTGTTTCTACCCTATTATCGCTGCAAATAGATTTGTTTCTTCTCTGTTATTCGAATTTGCTCGATATTCTACAGTTTGTTGTCATCGTAACAAAATAAATATGGCCGACGTTGAATCGATTCTCGAAAAGATCGATTATGTTCTCGATGTTCTCGCGCGCAAATTTAATTAATATTTTTGCCAGTGAGTATATAATTATCTGGTATAAAGAAGGCTTCCATTTCTTTAGAAAAGCGAGATAAAAGTTTATCAAGTTCATTATTTAATTGTGCTACTGAGGAATCAAGAATTCCGAAAGATTTGCAGTTTTAAGATTTGACAGGTATTACGTGTCGTATGAGTTTGTCGGATATGTCGGTCAGATAGAGAATTTCTAGAGTGTCTAGGGAAAAATTTAGGGACCCTTAAAACTCCCTATCTAACAGCCAATCGGCACATTCGACAATGCTCGTAAGATGCATCAGCCTTCAACGGCAAGTCCGACAAACTTTAACTTCAAAAAACAGCGTTCTAAGGTTTTCTATCCTGCTACCACACGATAGCTTTCTCTGCGTTTCCTAACCCTATTTATTGCCTTTTGACGTTTCCTCGTGTTTGAAATCAGGTTTATCACTTTTGGGCTACAGCAACAATTAAACATAAAAAATTTTTGTTAGCAAAAATGGCTGAAGCAATGCGTCAAACCGTGGCTGGTATGCTCAAAGGCATCGAAAGGTATTGTCTTCACCATGCAAACGTTCATTAATCACGTAGACAAAGCTTCAAAACGATGGCAAAATGGTTCATGTTTCTCTCAATGTTCGAATGTAACTTTTGTCCATAATTAATTTTTTTTCACGTGTTAATCATGTAATTAATTCTAGGTACAATCCGGATAACCTCACAACTCTGGAGAAGTACGTGGAGATCCAATCGAGGGAGAATGTATATGACTTAGAGGCAAATTTAGCTGTCTTAAAGCTCTACCAATTGAACCCGCATCGGTTTAACATGGACATAACATGCCAGATATTATTGAAAGCTTTAACCAATCTTCCACATACTGACTTTGTACTGTGCAAATGCCTGCTTAGTGAGAAACTTGTAAGTTTCATCAAAATATGAAACAATTGTTTTTTTTTCACTGAATCTATATTTATTATGCAATTTTTTGCAGATGTCGGAAAGCCCTATTAGTCAAATCATGTATCTGGGAGATATTTTGGAACGATGCGAGTTTCAACATTTTTGGGACAGGATGTTGTCCATGTCAGAACTGTGTGATAGAATTGTAGGTTTCCAAGACTCGATAAGGAAGTTTGTGTGTCACGTAGTTGGAATCACGTTTCAAACAATAGACAAAGGACTCCTTGCACAACTACTTGGTGGTGTAGATGGTATGATACATCCTTTTCCACAGTTTTCTGTTATACGATAGTAAGATTTATCAAACTCTCTTGTGTCGCACAGATGCAACATTGAAACATTGGGTAAAGAAATACGGCTGGAAGGAGGAGAGCAAAACAATCATCTTCATTGCGAATCAAGATGAAAATATCAAGACCAAGAATATTACTGAAAAAATTGATTTCGAAAATGTGGCGGGTTTGATGGCTGCTTGTCTGTGAATACACACTGGCTACTATTTTCTAATAAATTGAATGTGTGGATTATTTCATAAGTTCATTAATATCTACCACATTTATCGATTACTAGAATATCCTTACATTTATAAAAAGAAATATATGCAAACTTTATATAATTCTGATTTATTGCGTTTAGAAAAGTAATCTTTAACGTTTATGTCACAGCTAGACAGAATCTTCTGCTTCATTTAGTCCGATCGTTTCGTCCTTTTTTGCGTCAGTAAAGTCTTCATGAAATTTTATGTCATGATTCTCTCCTGCCTTGTCAGATTCTGTCAAATCTGCACTGTCAGATTCATCTGTTATCTTTTCTGCATGCAGCTGCGTAGTTTCCATACAATGAGAAGCGGACAGCGCAGCTTGCGTTTCTGCTGAGGTGTCTTTCTTTAAAATTTCACGCAGTGCCATTGTGGCGTAATTGCTGGACTTCAAACACATCTCTATGATTAATGCCTTGTGCTGTCCATCTGAAAACAATAGATATAGAGTCAATTAATTAAAGTGAACGTTTTCCAGCGCGTTAAAGAGAAATATACGACTTACCTGGTTTATCTTGTGGAGGTGTACGCTTCCTCATCTCGTCGATATCCGACGAGATTAGATCGTCGTGCTTCTCGTTGTAACGCATAATCTTCCACGAGAAATTCGTTGGCATTCCTAATATTGTTCTGTAGGAACCACCTAAACTGTACTTCCTGAAGAAAGATAACAGATGGCAGTAACGATACATTGTTACAATTTTAAATTAAATCACGCAATATAAGATCCAACTTACTTATTTTTCTGCTTGAGATCGGTCGTTAATCCGTCCTTGACTAAGAATTCGTCGAACCAAGGCTTAGCGTACAGCGGGTATGTAACTTTCCACCCAGGCTGAGGCATAATAACATCAGCCAGAGTGTAGTTTGGCAAATCCTTTTCCGTGAGAACTTTCACCGCGGGAAGATCGTGCGCGTCTTCGTGCTCCTCCGTTAAACCGTCGCTCGTTTTAGCCAATTCCAACTTTTCCTCGGTTCCTTTGTCCGCATTCTTTTCTTCGGTAGAGGCAACATCGCTCTCGTCTTTAAGGTCGTTAGTACCATCCAGAGAGTAATCCGTCGTCTCCTTGCAACATTGTTTCTCATAAACCAAATCGCCCACGATCACGTCCGCACCGAACCGTTTGATTCTTCTCGATACGATGCGATTCCAAACGAAGCTCTGGTAGGCGTGCATGTACATCAATCGAATGTTTCTAGGAATGGAGTCAAGCGCGCCTATAGGATCCTTGTTGCCCGATATCCACAGCCCTTTCAAAAGTCTGGCCTCGATCTTATCGACTCTCTTGATCTTGGCGTAAGCGGCACAAGCGTTTTTAGTTTCCGCGTAAATCTGCCTAGCCTCCGCCAATTCTTCGTCTCGCTCTCCCTCCCGTGGTTTCAATATCAGTTCTATCGCTTCGTGCCATTTGCCTGTGATTGCAAAGAATATTAATTGACGGTGTGATGATTCACTGGAATGAAATTGACATGTAGTGAGGGAGAGAGTAACGATATCAAAGAACTAATAGTCACCTTGAAGCAGACACTTTCCAATCTCATGCGTAGGTATAGCAGCCACCGTACCGAATCTTTGCAAACCGTAGTAATTAATAAAGCCGTTATCGCGCAACGATGTCATCGCTCGCTCGATCTCTTCGTCCGACCCGCGTACGTCTCTCAGTGCTATTCTAAATTGATTGCCATGTAACATGCCTAATTTTAGGCTGTATTTGGCGTACTTAAAGTTTCCTACATATACGCCGCGTATAGTTTTACCCGTTCTCAATATGTCGCTGGGATGTACCTTCCTCAAACTCACCCACTGAGTCGTCCACGCGCGACGATCTTTCGTACCGGCGTAGCTGAAATTGTCCGGGCGTGTTCGCAGCCTTGCGGCCAACTGATTTAACACATCCATCGTATCCATGTTCACTTTCAGCAGCAGGAAGTGGCAGTAATCGCCACCGCGTCTCTTCCAATCTATCCTGTTGTCTCTGTGCATTTTCTTAACTGCGATGCAACGACAGATATTAAGAATTATACGCATGTAAAGAACCATATGCGGAGAAGAGTTTGCAACATACCGGTCTTATTGTTTTTGCTATTCATCACAATGGTGATAAATTTCTTGTCGTCTTTATTTACCGTCTGACTGATAACGTTCAATAGTTTCTTCACGACCGTATGAATAGCCTTGCGTGCAGACTTATTCAGGCTCGTCACATCAATCTCTACGTCTGAAGAAGAGGAGTCGTCCTTTAAAGTTTGCACTTGGTCCCATATTGCTGATGGTATCGACTTTTTAAGATCTTCAATGTCCTCGTCATCTTCTGGTTCCCGTGGAATGTCTTGATGGGTCAGCTTGGCCACTTGTCCATTGAGATCAACCTCGTTGACATGGAAATCGGTATATCTTTCCTTGATTATTGCGGAGAAGCCAACGCTGTCGCCGATGTATTCCGTAATGCCTAAATCTGATTCTTTCAGCCTGTTGCCGACGTCCAACTTGTTCTTCTTCACATTTTCCCGCGGGGATTGCTCAAAACGGCGTTTGAAGCCTCCCCGGCGATAATGAATCTGGCGATCACCTTGCAACAACAATATAACCATATTTCTAACAAATATAATCGTACCGGATATCCGTTGCGACAAATGATAGATCACCTCTCAGCTCAGATTTGAAATTGCTGCAATTACCATCACTGTGGCCGGAAATTTTGCCCACGACAGCCGACATTGTGTTTCAATCGTGAAGTAAAAACACGCGGAGGAGAACATAACCTGAACCGTCCATTCGCTGTGATCACGTGGACTGCAAAGTCCACTTTCTTTCTGCGCGAGCTATACCTTTTTTTGCTCTTGATGTGGCGTCGCATGCCGTCTTCTACGTTCATTATAATTCCCTCTAGACGGAAATCTAGCAATTTCTTTGGATGTGTTTTATATACATTATTCTAGCATTTCCGGTGATAATCTATAATTTATCACACTGATAGAGTTATACAAAATATTAATTTTAACGTATACTCTCTCTCTGTCGTGATATTCCAATTTTCAAATTGGAAATTTTGAATTTTCAAACAATGAAGAAATAATCACTAGTTTAATCACTAGTATGTCGTTATAGTAATTTGCGTATCCATATTTGACCGACATATTTTATTTTTAGGGTAAATCACTGGGGAACGAATGGTATCACTGCGGAGACGTGCGAGCTTCCGGAATTGTCAGAGTACACACAATAGCGCGCGACAAATTTCTCCTTCGTTCTACGCGGCCCGTGTGAAAAACGAGAGGTCGTCAGCGTTGATCGCGCGTGCAAAATGTCCCGAGAGTACGCGGTGTGGGGGGACAACGATAAAGCGTGCATCGGGGTAACCGCATACAGGTGAGTGCTCGGCGGATGGAATATGGCTCGAGGGATAGCCACTGTCGAGGCCCCTCGCAAAAACTCGAAACAGGAATGTCGAAAAGGCAATTTCGCGATACGGTTTTTTAGCCAGCGGCTTTTTTCCGATAAAAAAAGTATACCGCAAAAATTAAACGAAATTCGGAACGGTACTCGATAGATTCCAGTCCGCTCTCTTTTTAGTTTCTCTCTCTCTCTCTTTTCCTCTTTCTGCCATCAAATTTTAAGTATGTACACACACACAGATTAGAGCTAAGAAGAACACATCTTTCATTCGCTCAGGGTGAAGAAATATTTCATAGTAAAGGAACCCGAGGGAGAGAGAGAGAGGGAGCATGCGCCCCTGCGAGCGCCGTGAAGTACGCTGATTACGTCGCGCGTGGGGTCGTAGTAGTAGCCGGGGAGGGATGACACGCCGTCAGTGTACCGCGAGCTACGAACGAGGACGTAAGTCGCGCGCGCCGACGCCTTCGCGTTTTGCGTCAGTGGGCGTAATCGCCGCGGGGTCGTGCAGCGGTGGTCGACAACCCCTGACCGCCGTCGGCGGGGTATTCCGCGTCGCTGCTTGCCGCGATCGCTTCGACGATGCGGAACTCGCGGTAGAGTCGCGGACACGACGCGGGAAAAACGGATGCGCGTGTGTCGGAGCACGACGAGCGGTGTGCCGACGCGGGATGAGCGCCAGAGAAGTCACCCTCTTCGGCGGCTCCCCATGGGGCTTCCGGATGCACGGCGGATGCGACTCTCATCAACCCCTACGCATCTCCAGGGTGAGTCGAGCAGCAACGAGATTTTCTTTCGATTGCGAGACACCGATGGCCGGCCGAGCGCGTCACGTGACTAAGTTCGTTATCGCATAGAGGGGACATTTTTGTTTTCGAATTAGCGCGCACGATTTGAATATACGGTTAACACGGCGGAGCGTGCTCGCTAATTGTTATCAACAGTGATAATTGATTATTCGCATTGACGCGTCGGAACAGCAGTCGCCGTAACTTTAGCCGCGAAGGGCGATAATGCAAGTACGATTACACAATTACACGATGCATTCTGCATTTGAATATCCAATGAGGATACATCGCCCGATAATCCCTTATTCATAAATATCGCATTATTTACGCGGTTTAATTCGCGATGCCGCCGCGGAGAGACGCACAGCGGTATTATTAATGTTAACGCCGCATTAATGGCCGGCGTTCAATTAGTGCAATTTATGTGCGGACCGCTTCGACAATTTTATCGACGCGTGAAAGCGCGGTGTGTGCGCGCGATTAAAGGAAAAGAAACACCGCCCGCCGTATATATATATATATATATATAGTCGTATATAGCTCTTTTCCTCGCGATTGTCCCGTTTAACCGCGTCTCGAGCTGTCGTTTATCGTAAGTGGTGAAACGAGAGAGAGATAATCGCGCAAGTAGAAAAAGTTGCATCGATCCGGCCGCATCGGGTGCCGTACTTTCATCACTGAACGCGCCGCCGTAATTTTCTCCGCAACCACTGCGAGTCCGCATCTGCTTTCGTATCGACTTTATTTCGCGGACGACCCATCCGTTTCGAGGGAATACGTTTTTTTTTCTCCGCTGTGTTTCAATGCTCACACATACGTAGATATATATCCGTTTCACGAAATGTCTCTGTTTACTTTTTCCCTTTTATACGCACCAACAACCGTAACATCCGTCCCCGTAAATTCCCTCAGATTTTGTCGGATAGATCAACTTTCTTTTTTTCTAATTCCACGATTGTTAGTAAACAATTACTATGCAACCTTTTGCCCACTGTACTAACTTGATGTGCGACAGAGAGGAAGATTAAACAACTAAGGACTTTTGATAATAATCAAAAATTGCAGATATTTTTAGATTATGAATAAATTCGAAATGAGTTGGTTTGTGGAAATAGAAGGGGAGAGGATAACGTGTAAATCCGACAGCTCGTGTCTGTTCGTCGAACATTATCCTCTCGGTAATAAATATCGAGTCGATCGTCGCCCGTGTGACAGCTGTAGTCGCGAAAATGTGCTTTCTCGAGATGAAGTCTACGTTTATACAGGGATCGGCAATTTCCGATGCGCGGCTGGGGGAAGGGAGAGTAAATAGTCCATATGGAAGAGGCGGTTTCCTGTTTTGCCCGAGATGCGAATTAAGATGAGAGATGGCGACGAGTAATTTATTCGCCGCACCGAGCCGATGCGGCATAATCGCGAGCTCGGAAACTTCGCTCGCGGTCGGCAGGCCAGTTGACGGCTACAATTTCAGACATTCGATAGTTAACGTTTGCGGCGAAGGTCGACGGGCCTTGGCGTGACTCCCTACCTTTACCGCCACGTGCCTCGCGTAAATGCCGACGAATCTCATTTTATTCCGACTCTACGGATCGAGCCACGTGCTCGGAGTGGGTAATGCGAATTAGAGGTGGGTGGATAGCGGCGTTCGCCGGTTTCCGCGAATATCCGTAGGATCTCGACATTCTCGGCTCGGGTCATCCGTCCGTCCGCGTGATGTCGTCCGACGCGTCACGCAATGTCAATTTCGGAGGGAACGTTATTCGCGCGATCGATCCTGAAGTCGGATCATGACGACACGCGCGACGTTTATGGAGCCGCGATAGAGAATCCTCGTCTCGAAGAGTCTGTTTCCACGTGCGGTGACTCTCTTACCGCTTGCAACGCGCGACCTTTCGTTATGTAAGCGTAGGTGATGTTGTGACGCGGCGAATGATTCATACGCAGCGAAAAGACCGAACTTTGCTTGAATCGCGTATTTACGCGCGTGACATGAATGTAACGGCTCGTGCGGGAACATTCTTCCGAGCTGACGCGCCGGTCAAAGATCGCGCTAAAATTGCCGACTCGTTTTCGACCGCGCGATTTTCCGAACGACACACGGTCTCTCGTTATCGGTTTTCAGATTTTCTCACGCATCGCCGCGAGGGCCTTGAGTCACGTCCGCGAATGCAGCCTTCGTCCACTCGCGATTGAATTAATTCTTCTCTCCGATCTCTGTCTTGAAATCGCCGCGTTTCATCTCGAGCGAGCGAACAAACACGCGTAGGACCACCTATCTAAATTTGCTCCGCGCGGATAAAAGTGATTACGCGTACTGTAAACAACACGATCTTGAATTTATTATGAACCGCGCGGACCCAGCGCGAAGATTACGTGTGCTGATATAGGCGCTTAACTTCTTCACCTTCGTCCGACGGGTTAGTGTTGCTCGACGAAGAGAGAGCGAAAGAGGGAGGGAGAGAGAAGGAGATGGAAACAACGTAGTTCTTTCACGTATCTTATCAGTGCCGTCTATGCAGAAAATGATCCTCTCTCAGGCGCGTGTCGGGTATTAAGGTTTCGTTGCTTTCTTGTTTGCCGCAGTTGTGCACAGGGTGTGCGCTGTCACCAATTAAGAAGACGATAAAAAGGAAGTTCCTGGAAAAGGATGACACGTTAATGAGTCGTAGTCGCGTTACGAGCGGCGAATCGCACAAACGCGATCAGGAGATGAGGAGGGGGAGGTGAAATAAAAAGCGACGGAAAGGACATCCGCGGCGCTGACATCGGCTTTTCAAGGCCGCACGTTGATAGAAACTGGCACGCATTTCGTGACGTAATCGTGCGTGAACCCGTAATGCGGACAATTAGCGGACGGTTATGGGCGCCGACGCGAAAGGTAAACGCGACGCACCATTAGATCGACGGCATTTCTGCCAGGTCGCCGCCGCGGAAGTCGCAAAATGGTTCGTCATTCAGGTTACACTTCTCCCGCAGCTTTCTTTCGCGCCAAAGCTGCGCGATCGTTAAAATGATTGGAAAGCACGAGGAGCAAAAGATGGAAATGAAGCCGATGAAATTTTGCGAATTACATTCGCGGCGACGTGTGTGGTTAGTCATAATGTGATTACTCGCTCGTTCGTCTACTTTCTGTTCTTTGCACGCGTGAGTGTGCCATTTTGGCGCTTCGCATGCGGAGCGACCCGGTGGTAATAGACAGTTTATGCTCATGAGCGCAAATGGATTAAAGGTTGCGTCCTGGCTCTTCCGTCCTGCCGCGGTCTCGATTAACGGTGGTGTGACCCTGTTTGTAACTGGGTCGGGTGTCAACGTCGAATGTACCACGTCGTGTGATGTTATCGTCCTCCACGAATACGTCGCGCGATTTTCGTGCGAACGCATTACGCTCATCGTTGCATACTTCGCGCTTTCAGTTGACGCGTTTAAATTCGATGCAATCATATACATGCGCGATTAAATATATATAATTGTCAGACGCGAAAGTGACGGCGCGCAAATTTATCGCGTGGCGTCGCAGGATTAAATGACGAAATATGACGGTCGTTCCGGAAGAGGGGGAAGAAGAGGCGCTTTTCGTGGGAACGCGAGATTTACGGCGAAAACGCGCCGTTAAATCTGCGCTATAAATGTTAATAAGGCCGTCCGACACATTTCACGAGGACTAAAGTTCCACTTTAAGGCTGATCTCGGCCCTACGGGCGTACACTGGCGCCGTTCCGGAATCTTCCTCTCGCGGGCTGCGTTGCGTGCCGATGCTTTTAATGACCGCTCAGGAGTGTGTATTTCGTTCCTTTCCGTCCCGCTCCACGTGGCGTCGGCTTCGCCCACGAAATTCCACCGGGCTGTCTTCGATCTCGCTCAGAGAAAGCGTGGCCGAATGTGTATTTCATTAAAGGCTATGCAAATATACAAAATACTCCCATACTCGCGATGCGAATTCTAAGCTGAGACGTCGAGATAATTTGTTACTTTACTCTCTAAATTTCTTCTGGTGAAACCCGAAAAGTAGAGCGACCACTGAGTCACTCGAATTCGAGTGAGTTTCCACTCAAGGTGAATTTGCTACCCTGAATCGTCGAGCGAATATTGTCACTCGAAATTGACAAGTGAATCTAATGTACACACGACCTCGAATTAATATACTCTTCATTTGTTTTGAGCGCGATCGCACTCTGGATAACAAAGAAATTTCGAGAGTAGCGTTGCGGAATTACAGTCGCTTGTTTTACGCTCTCTTCAATCGTGATTCAGGTTTCATTCGGCGCATCGAGGAGTGCTTGAAATTTCCCGAATTTCTAACACATCCATATATGCGGTGAAATCGACTGCGTCATCAATACCGAGATGAGGCGTAAAGTACGAGACGCTTATGTAATTAAGGCGAATACTTTTTCTCTCATATGTGTTTTATAATCTCGCGCGCATCTCGAAACTTGTTTGCGCCGCGGCTCGCCTTGAAGCGTCGAATGTATAAATAATCGCGACATTTTCGATCTATGCGCGCTGAATAACGTACCTACCGCTATGTCGAGCGATGACGGTGGTTAATTCAACGAAAATAGACGCGACACGATGGCGTGTTCAGTCGTTGCACCGACGATACGTCATTGTTCCGTTGTTGCAACACTCGGCTTAAGCCGTCCGTCCGTACGTTCTACGAGGCTCCAAGTAACGGACTTTATTATGAGAGTAAATCAATTACCCGGCGAACTTTATTATTCCTCCCGCACGGCCGGCGCGGTTGCATCGCAGACGAGCGCGGATTACAAAGCGCGATTCGGGCTCCCCCTTAGATTTAAACTACCTGGAGGTATAACGCTTTTTATTTCTCTTTCCGTTCTTTTTTTCCTGCAACACCGCGAAAGAGCCACGGAACGAACAGACGCTATCACCCGATAATTTCAACGCTCTTTACGATCTTATTTTTTACCTTCTAACCGCGCAGTCCTTCGCGGCTTTCGGAAAAATCCCCGCCCCTC